ACTTAAATTGGGTATTCACCTGCGACGTCTTCTTGGTCACTGACTCGGGGGCCTCCTTATCACCTTGCGATGTACTGGGACCTGCTTTGTCTGCCTGCTTGGAGGCTACATCTGCCTGTGCAGGGGAACCGTCGCCTTAAATCTTGAGTTTCTTTGCGGGATTGCTGCACTCCTGATCCAAAGGACCGGCTTCTACCCACTCCAGCATCTTCTCCAAACTTCAGCGTTGCCCTCCATTGGGCGCCACAGTCAAAATGTGCTCCTTCCAGCGGCCTTCGAGCCCTTGAAGCTGGTCCACTTCCTCCCATCCGTCCTGGACCAGTTGCTCGAAACATTTGGCTGACACCTTAAAAGCGGTGCATAAACCCTTGAATAAGGCACTGGCCGAACTGTCTATGGCTTGATAAGCATCAGCCGTCTCCTATGAGTTGGAAGAAAATGAACAAGGGCTGTTATTTAGGAAAGGAACAACTCTAGGAGCATAATGATGTATATGCTTATCGCCTAGCAACGAATGATGCCCGGAACATTTTTTATTGTTTTTGGGGTTTTTTTACATCTACATATTTGCCTTTAATCACTCATGTACCAATGACAACATTTTTATATAAGCCTAACCTGTAATTGATTCGGGAACTCCCGCGCAAAGACAAAGTCTTCAATGTCCAGAATGTATGGATTTCTAATGCGCCAAACATCAACAAACCAAAATTACATGTAAGAGTAAAACAAGGTGTATGTTGATAAAGTTGAGACAACTCCCGTTGACAGCCATGTGGCCCCAAAGTCCCCTTATTATTTTTTGTTTTTTGTTTTTTGTTTTGTATGAACGAACAAAAAGTGGCCTACAACGTACACCCAAGCCGCCCCGAGAGAACCCAAATGATCTTTGAACAAAACACAATATTACAACATACAATTACTTATGTATGTATTCATTTATTTATGTTTTAAACTATACGCTTCATTCATTTTGTTAAATTTTACCTCAATTAAGTCGAGTTTCAAATCCATCCTCAAGGAACTGAACTGACGGACTGGCAGGCAAAATGAATTAGTACCGGCACGACCGTGTTGACAGAACCGTACAACTGGCGCACTGCCTCGTCATGCGCGCGCCTGATAGCAAGCACGTTTCCCCCCCCCCCCCCCCCCCCCGAGTCTCAAACCAATGCATCTAAGTGCACAGCAACAATAGGGATTAAGGCTAACCCACAAGGAATTACATACCAAGGCACTAGAGGCCCCTGCACAGGACAACGCCCAAATACAAAGACACAACCATGCCACTGAGCTTGCACGCAGTGGGCAAAAAGAACACGCCTGCTACCGTCATGTCCCTTCAGTCATTACACCACTCATACTCATTATATGTCCACTTTTTTACCTGATTTCACCCTATTGACATCTGGCACGGCCTTGAGAAAAGCGGCACCCAGCACCATCTTGCCATTTGCTTTTGCCATTCAATCATTGACTTGCAAGATGATGTCTAACTTTTAAAGTAAAAATAATGCTGAGCAGTCACAAAGACATCCATCCGGTGGATTGCTATACTCGAGACTGCGTAGACTCCTGCACTGCCCTCAACGCCGACGGAGGTGCAAATAGCAGCGGGTACCGCATAAACTATTATGGAATGATGGAATTTTGCGTCGGGGTGATATAAATCAAATTAGGTTTTGCCCTTCACCGACGTTTAAACACTGTATACTCGGTGTGTTACCTCCCGAGTGAAAGTTGGAGAAAAAAAAACCGATCCCGCTAGCCCGGTGGTCGAGTGGTGAGACATCTGCACTAGAAAGCAGGAGGTCATGAGTTCGAGTCCCACCCGAGTGATTTTTTCCAACTTTCACACGGGAGGTAACACACTGAGTATACAGTGTTTAAACGTTGGTGAAGGGCAAAACCTAATTTGATTTGTATCACCCTGACGCAAAATTCCATCTTATGATAATATTTTATTAGTACGTGTATGCAATATTTTGATCTGAAAATGTTTTCTGTCTTTATTTTCTCCATGTTGTTCGTACAAGTGTAAACCAAACTGCTTGGAGAATTATAGGCCTATCTTTATTTTATATTTATTTAGTTGTTTGTTTGTTTGGTTTTTAGCTGTTTCGGTTACAACCGAAACAGCTCTTGTTTTCGTTAAAGTTTTTTTTTTTTTTTTCTTTTTTTTTTTTTTTCTTTTTTTTTTCTTTTTCTCTTTCAGACTCTTCTCCATAGGGTTTGTACACGTTTTTTCTTCAGCAAGGGCACTTTGGCACTTTCTTAAATTGCATCAACCTCAGACTTGGCACACACTTAGACCACCATCCACAGATGGTCCTAGAAGAAATTCATAATCATGACGTCATCAAGTGTCAAGTTACGTAACATTAAAGGTGTATTTTTTGTCCATAGGGTTTGTACACGTTCTTTTCTCCGTAGGGTTTGTACACGTTCTTTTCTCCGTAGGTTTTGTACACGTTCTTTTCTCCATAGGGTATGTACATGTTCTTTTCTCCATAGGGTTTGTACACGTTCTTTTCTCCATAGGGTTTGTACACGTTCTTTTCTCCATAGGGTTTGTACACGTTCTTTTCTCCATAGGCATTGTGCACGTTGTTTTCTCCATAGGCTTTGTACCCATGGGGTCGGAGAACTCGACCGTTATCCAACTTGACATTTTGACAGCGTGCGCGTGCATGCCTTGCCGCCCTACAGCTGGCCAGGTCCCCGCGCACTCTACGCGGTACAGTCATGATGCCACAGATTTATGCGGCTTACGTAAATGTGACAAACTTGTAGTTGGGTATGTGAGTTGGGATAATCATGATTTATCAGAAGTTAACAACTTTAAAGAATTTCTTAAATGTTAATGTGGGATTTTCGGGGATTTGTTCAACTGCGCCACGTTAGGAACACTGGAAAGAATTCCATATAAGCCTCCACCTCTATGGGCCATGACAGGAAACGTCAAAGTATTTTTAAAGAAAATCTTGATTTTTTCCCCTCCTAAATTTCCGTTTCTTCGTCAGATTTACAACTTTTGGTACTTTTCAATTCATATCTAGGAAAATAACTGGAGTCCGTATATGGAATTCTTTCCAAGACGTCATTAAATTTAATTCCCTTCTCGTCTGCTCAGTACTATTGGTATTTTCACTCCCAACATGAATCATGTATGTTACTGTTGAAGTTGTTTGCTGCCCTCTAGTGTTTCCTGTGATGAAATGCCCAAAAATGTACGTGACGTGCAACTGCATTGGTCCGGCACTCTTGGCCATAGCCAGGACAATACATGTAAGGCCAAAATCACAGATCGACACAAGCAAAATGACACGCAGGCCAAATTTCTTGACAGGCCACTCCGTGTTGGAGGTTAGCCATGGCTTTTAGGGGGCTGGATACAAACAGGATTGGAGGTGTGCGGCTCAAAGAATGCTATGTGACAAATGGAAATGGTGGGAACTGAAGTAAGATAGGTTAAAATTAAGTAAGGGCAAAACTGGATGCCAACTGTGAGTTTAGGCAGTCATAAAAGCTAATATGCACTTTTTATTTGTAACAGTTTACAGTGGAAAAGGATATTTCTAGTAACGGTTGGGTGGTGCTGAGAAACTAAAACTATCCAACATTCCCGGCAACAGGAGTAGGCATTCCTCCTGTTTGAAAATGGCGCGTCAAATATCAAGATATGGAGCTCAAAAAGATACATGACCTGACATTTACCTGAAATAGTCAGTTTTTATTTAGTCCCACAAGCTGACTAATACTTCCAGTTCGACACATTGCTTTACGCCCTGCATAATATTTCAAGAAAATTGCCCAACAAGCAACTACTCCAACTCCACACTACTAGTACTACAGCGATAAACCTCACTCTCTTCTCTATCGCTATTGTCTAGCTATTTGCATAGGCATATGAGCAGACTCGCAATAGACGGCCCCGTATAGCTCTGGAACCCTGTTTTGCACAATGCTCTACATTTTTTTTCTTTTATCACATTCACTTGATTCAGAGCGTTGTTGCTATTTAACAAACCCCGATCCAATGTGCTGTTTTATCAGCGCGTCTCTTGCCCATATTTTCACCTTAACTCCCTGCAGCATATGCAAATATCCTATTGATGTTGATGTCACCTGACATCACTTTAAAAGGTGCAGCTTTTCTCCATTGGATTTGTACATGTTTTCTTCAGCTAATAATTATTTTTGCAGTTTGCTAAAGCTGATCGACATTAGATTTAACAACACCACTCACTGATGGCTCAAAAACAATTTTCGTCACAATGACGTACGTACGATTGTACAGTATCACCTGACGGCTATAGTTCTCAAGATTCTCTATCTCTAGGACGTACCAGTCCGATTGGGTTCAAAGCTGGTACGCAAGTATTCCAGGGTGTGTTATGAGTACAAAACCACATTATACGTCATGATCACACCATGATGACGCCTTCATGACGTCATCGCATACCATGTGACCAAACATTCAAGTTATAGTATTTATTATATTTCACACCATTTATCTCTGAAAGTGCTAGTTCCATTGGCTTCAAACTTAGATTTGCTTCAAACATTATCACGTCATGTGCCGTCATTAAAGGGATAATTGTCAGGGCCTATATTGTATGGTATTTGTATAACTAGAGATTCCATTTGCATGTAACTAATGTACGTATCAAATATCTATGAAATTTGAGGTGATGTCGTCATGTCATCAACACACGTCACAGCCGAAACAGCTTGCGTTTGTCCACAAACGCATACCTCTAGTTTTTTGGGGGGTTTTAGTAAATAGTGAAACTTACCAAAACTTTGTTTACCTGTCTTTAAAAATAGATATAATTACCAACGCCTTGAGTACCTAATTGTTGGTTGATATAAGACTCTGGTATTATTATTATTTATTATTACCAAATCACCATGGCTAGTTTTTAGAAGGACCAGTCAACAGTCATTCCTTTGTCAGCATTGTGAAATTATGCCCAATCATATGTTGTGTCATCTAGGCCCATTGTGTTTGCTATGGAGAGTGAGCAAACATTAGAAGCAACATTTGTTCTTGCCACCTTAGCTGACCTTCCATCCAGTCAAAGCTCTACTCAGCACAGAGTCCCTGCAGCTAGTCAACACACTGCAGTCAATCATACAAGCCACACACACAGGTAATGAGTATTGTCCAACATTGCTGCCACTAGCAGCCCTCTCTCAGTAGTATGGCATTATTTGCATATTCAACATTTTTGGATGTTATAATAAGGTGCAGAAGAGTCTGGTGCCTTTACAATACAGTAAGTTGATGCTTGTGTGGATGTGGCGTCAGGCTGCAAAGTTAATGATTTTCAAAAGTTGCAAGGTAACAATCATACCCATCCAACCTGAAATATTACATTAAAAATACACAAAAGCAAAACTGAAAAGAAAGATTGTTTTTAAGCAGCGTTATAACAGTAAAAAATGTTAAAACACGAAACACCTGTTCAAATGAAAATCACCAAAAACACAATACAAATCAGAGTTATTTACTGTCCTAGGGTTGGGTGAAGGCATTATACAAAAACAGGCAAGTTTATTGCCTCACAATACAAAAATGCTATATCGCAGTACTTTCCTTGAATAAGCATAGACAACAAATCAGAATTGGTGATGTTTACAAAATAACTCCAGATCGAAAGCAAATAAGCAGCTGTGGGAAGTTTGGCAGAGTAATCAAAAATAAAAGGTGATCAAAAATAGAAGGTAGACCCTGTGAATCCAGTATCCCATTTTTGAAGTTTAGGTTCCATTTAAACATTTGGGAAATTTCTGAACAGCTTTTGAATGTTGTTGTTTATCTAAACATGTAAATATCACATCCTTAGTTGGTAGGACAATATTCTAGGGGATAACAGATTAATTTTGATATCTGTTTGTTGTTCATTTTCCCATCGCTATAATATCACAGTTTAACAAAGCAAAGGAAGCAAGCAGTGAATAACTCATCAAGCAGGAGTCATTCTAACCAAGCCGATGATCGGAGAGAATTCAGGTAATGAGAAACCACCCTGCAGACTACGCAGACAAGAATTTGACCAGGAGATCCAAATCATTGATCGTTGACAACTTTTTTCCTTGTGCTCACAGAGCCAAAACTGATTAAAAAAATCCAATACATTGACCACCAAATTCCAATACATGGACATTTTATTCAAGTTATGAAAACTATTATTCATTACTTTAAATCTGAAGAATTAAAATCATGCAGCTATTTCTGCTGCCTGTAAAGCCCTAGTCACACATTCACAGTTGGAGCTATGAATATCCACGGTTTACCAAGAATCAATCGATCACGATGAACTGTCGTGATTCGTGGAGAAATCGACTTTCTTAGAATGCTCTACAGTTTTAGGATGGATAGCCATGACTGTCCTAAGGTTTCTCTACGAATACACCACGGTTTGTCATGAATATGGACAGATTGGTGAAGAATATCGACGGTAATACTCAGAATAATACCCAAGGAAGATGACAGATAACCACGGAGGTACTAAGGATGAATACGGTACTCCCACGGCTTATCACGAATTTTAAACCGTGGATATCCGTAGCTCCAAACCATGAACGTGTGACTGATACTGTTAATGTGCATGTACCACTGTAAGCTACATACATAGTTCAATTTCATGATAATAGCCCTTCACACTTGTTGAAAGTCCGCTGTTGATCATAATTCCTTATACATTTCGTCCATGTAGGAAAACCAAGCCTCCTAATACAAAGAGACAAAATGAAATGGATTTTCCAGATGATCTCAACAACCAGAGGGAAACCAGTCACTGTAGGCAGCCAGGTGAGACAGTCAGGGTATTGCTGCTTAATGTTCAACTGAACTTGCAAACTATTCATCGTGATAAAAGTATAGGATCCATGAAATCAGAATGCACCATTTATACCCTACGTCTCTAGGTGTTTTGGGAGGGTTTTGTTTGGTGCTTGGGCTGATCCCCAATTACAGTTGTACAGTTCTAGGTATACAGATGTAATTTAGGGCACAGAAATATGATTTGAAATGGTATATTTTATTCAACCATAGCAGCCAAAAGCTGAGTTGCGTTTAAATTACATTAAAAACATTAAGAAAGTTGCTTATACTAAACAAAATGATGAATAAGAATAGAAAGGACAAACATTGATTATTAAGTTAAACTAAATCGTGTGAAGATTAAAATGTGTTACTGCACCAGGCAGATTTACAAGGGTCAAAATCAAGATGAATCATTGTTGGTAAAATGCATACTTTGAAAGAGAAAAAAAATGTAAAAAACATTAAACTCTGTGGATACAGATTAAGATATATTGAATTACATGACCTATGAAAATATTTCATTAAAAAATTGCATTAAGATATATATAAAAATTAAGACTCAACGAATTACATAAAACCGTCATTGAAATAAAAACAGATAACCCTCGTATGCTGTTTCAAATTGAGAGATGTCCATTTAGAAGACGGGACAGAGATGGGATTGCACTGTTACTGAAGCGCACAGTTCTGCATCTGATGTTCTCAAACAAGTGTTTGTTCCTTGTACTGTACGCTCTGGATGATCTTGGTGGAAGCAGATGATGGAGTTTAGATGTAGGTTTCAGCATGGATTGGGCAAATGTGAGACACAGATTTCTCCAGTTATCAGAGAGGGTAATTAGAAGAAGGCGATCTCTGGCATCTGTGTATCCCTTCTACTCCTTCCCCAGGATGATTTGGCATGCTCGCTTTTTGATGCGCTCAATAGACTCTACCTGTTTCTTTGTGATCCCTCCTGCCCACACAGGGGTAGCATACTCCATGAGAGGTCAGACAATGCTTAGGTAGACTGTCAGGAAGTCGGAATGTGGTAGACCGTGGTGTTTCAGGGGTCGTAGCTGCATTTATAATGCACTGCACAGTGAGGATATGCCGTTAAACACCGTACAAACGGATAATGACGAATGTCTTGACCAAGGCTAGGATGATCCTTGCCACTCACGACTTAAAGACATACCTTAAAGACTTAAAGACATACCTTCGGAGGGTGATGTGAGGTATTTCAAACTTGCTCGTTACTGTGCGACATGGTCTACATGTACAATTGACAAGGACTGCTCTTAATACACTTCCTATGATATCCGGTGGGGTCTTTCCACGGTTCATCTTTCTGCTGCATCTAAGAAAAGGCTACATGTATTATGGGGAAAATAGGAATAGCAAAACGTTTTGCTCACCATGTCACCTGCTTAAAGCATGTTGTTTTGAAATGGTGAGTGAAGGAAAGATTTCCAACTTGGAGCCGATTGGTCATTGGAGATAAATTACGAAAATCATATTAGTTTAAATGAAAAGGATTCGCCAATGGTAGCCCTTGTATAGTAGCCCAAGTCAGTAAATTTAAGGAAAAAGGAAATTGTTTTAAAATGTAGGACTGGCATTTGCAAAAAAAACAAGTGCAAGCAGCACAAAGAGATATGTACATGTATGAGATCTAGTTTGCCATGCTACATATTTAACAAAGGCAGATCAATAGTTCTGAAATAAGATAAGCCAGAATTTATGATAAATACTTGCATGTGCCCGGGACTATGGGCAAAAACAACAGGGACAGTGCACATTTCTGCGGTGGCGGGACACTTTTGTGGGGGGGGGGGGAAACACCGCCAGTGCTGGCCTGTGCCAATTCAAAAAGTGTGGGCATGGGGCTAAACCTCATTCATCAATAGGGGTGCCTTTTCCAAGAGTACGCTATTGTGGGACCGACCATGTCCCCTAGTGGAAAAAGTGAGGGGGGAGGGGGCATTATGGCCCCAGTGGTACATGTGCATGATATTAAGCTAAACTAGGCCTACACCTTTCCCACGAACCAAGAGTGGTGTTCCCTAATGTGGTGCACTTCAACGTTTACCACGACTTTCTTCGTCAGTGTTGCCAAACTTCTTTGTTGACAACTTCAAATTCATTCAATGAAATACTGGTACTTTTACCTTATTAATGCTTGCTATTTAACCTCTTTGAACAATTTCGGTGTCATGAAAATTAATCCGAAATTCAAAAACGGCAGCGTACGGAAATTGGGCACAAATCAGCAGAGTGTTCCCAAACTTGGCGCACTTCAATAAATCTCAGAAAATTTCCAAATTAATATTTAAACATTTCTGTAAAGTTGACAAATTTTGATAAACCATTATTATCTTTACTTACTTACCCAACTAGAAGTTTGTCAGAAAATTATTTTGTAATTTTTGGGGGACATTTTCAAAGGGTTCATCATGCACTTCGAAATAAAATTGGTAATTCACTCCCAAATAAACGTTTCTTCTAACTTTGTAACAGGTAGATAAAGTCATGATTAAGGAGCGGGAGTGTTTAGAACTTTCAGATAAAACTTTTACTCTAGCGAGGCGCTACAGGCGAAAAATCAAAGTGCTCCACGTTAGGGGCCGCGCCACGTTAGGGTACATCAATAACATAACAACAAGCAGTTGACTCAAGTTTGTTTTGTGGAACGTTGGGTTCAAATATTGTATGCCTACAACAGATGCACAGCCCAGCTGTGAAATATCATAACTATTACGTATATTTTGGCAGTTGTAGGCCAGCCAAATGTGGAAAAGTTCACTAGATAATAGTTTTACAGCATTTTTGGGGTAATAGCTGGCATCCATGCTAGATCAATTCTTTGAACCATAACGAACAAGATGTGGGTGGATGCCTTCGTTAATTTTGACCCTTAATATACCTAATTTGCAAAATCATTAATCCCATATGTTGTATTTTTTATTAGAAAAATTTCAACTTCTGCGACGTTCCGCAACCATCACATGATTTCTCAGTTTTGTGACCTGAGCATTATTTTTCTGCTTGATGCCGACGGTTGCGTCGTGGCGCAAGCAAATCGTGGGTCGACCTGAAGCCGGCTTAAGAAAATGCTATTTAAGTAAGGGTGTGTTAGTAGAATCACTAAAATAAACTTTTCAAAAATAAATTAAGAATAAATAGTTAAGTCAAAGACAGTAAGTCTAGCTTCGTGTTGTGCAATATAAAGTTGGACCTTTATCCAAAGGCACGACCCTCAAACATATCATTCTGTTGGGTTAGTAGTTTGAACACGCTCCAATTAGCCCACATCATAATGTACCAACTATCTTCAATTTAACCTTATTTTGGAGAGCCTTAAAAACTCAGAAACTATTCAACTCATTCTATAAACATCATTAAGGGGGAAAAAAAACCTAACATTTGGTCTGGGTATTGACCACAGTCAGTAAAAGTTTCACTGATATTCAGCCATGCATGAAACGGATACAAGTCTTTCTTTTGTCTACCCCAAAACTCTACCAACATATTGTTTATATCATCACCATGGCAACAATGGGCCTCTGGACAATGAAAGAAATATAAGGAGTAACAGAACAGGGTATTAATTAAATGGAATTACATTTATTGAATTGGATATGAATTTCAGTTCAATAAATGTAATTCCATTTTATTGATATCCTGTTCTGTTATTCCTTTTATTTCCTTCATTTTCCAGAGGTCCATTGTTGCCAATGAGTTTATATAGCAAAAGGCCCTGTGTGGGTAGTGTTTTGGGGTAGTCATTAGTGTAATGTGGTGTCCAAGTGTAATGTGTTCTTTTTTCCTTCATAAAAAAAATGATAAGTTTTAGAATACAATACAATTTAACTTTTAACGTATTTACAGGGTCAGACAGGATGAAAGATATTGATGCAGAGTTTGAGCATCAAGACAGAGTACAAGCAAGAGGCCCCAGTAGTCCTATCATTCCTCTGCACTCACATGTCCACAGAGCATCTGAACATCAGACTAGACCAGCACTCTTCCCTGAGATTAAAGCTGCCCCAAAGGACAATGACAGAGCTACACAGATCACCCAATGTGTGCAACCAAACAGGACAGTATTGGCAAGATATGAGGAGCCTTGTGATGAAGAGCATAGAGTGAATGCTAAACAACAGACTGGTGTAGTTGCCCCTGATGATCAGTGTGTTGATAGTGCCAATGTTAGTGACAGTGAAGACTATGATTTTGTGCCAGGAACTCCCCCCAGCAAAAAGGTAATTACTGACTGAAACATGATGTTACTAGTCCAAAAAGGTTTGCTTCTGTTGTGACGGTGAAAGGCATACTTTTATCTAGAGAGTGAAAAGAGTGATTTTCTATTGTAATTGATGTAAATCAAGTCCAAGTCCTTCAAATCCTTTAAAATTTCCAAATTGCCCTGTTGCCCCGCATGCTCATATTCCTATACTCAAAAGCTCACGTACTTGTATCACTTAATCGGTTTATTTTCTTATGTATCCACTCACATTTCAATATACATCTCAGACTTGAAAAAGGACTCGACTACTATACTAATACTTATACAACAATGTTTGAAGAAGTGCAAAATTACTGGTCCCGAGGTGTTGCCTGAGCTGGGTTGACTAAGCAAAGACCAGTTATTTTTGCACTACTAGACAACTTCCCAGATGTAAACTATGTTCCATTTGTTTAGTAACAGCTCATGCATGTGAAGTAGGTAAATTGTTGACATTGCTTTCACAGAATGTGTATGGTAATTCAGAGTAATTAATCTGTTGTGAAAGTTTCACTAGCAACTTGGATGTGAATGCTCCTTGTGCATAGAGTAGGAGTCTACATGGTAAAACTTAATCAGGTTCTACTGACCAACTGTGTATAGTACTCACATTTTGTGTGAACTTTCGAAAACTATGCATGCCACATGTCTAGGAATTGTCACGTTTGCATCGCTGATGTATTGAAACTTTGAATTGGATTTTTTTAATTTGAACTTTTTTAAGCTAAACTTAGAATGCTCTTTTTGCATCTTGTTTTACCAATAGTTCAAGTCAATGTTCTTTGGAGCATCTCAACAGCTGAGCCAGTCATTGGAGACTGCCCAGAAGTCTTCAGCTGTGGTATTGTGCGAAGATACTGATGAGGAGGATTCAGACTGACAGACAGCATTAGCTGTTGTACATTAAGATCATACCCAGAGGTTTTAGTGGTTACTGAATGATATGTGTGATGCCATGACTTCATGTGCATTTCCTGATGACTACATGCATAATGCATGACTGATGGCACAAGTTAGAAATTAGAACAGTAACAATGTTACTGTTCTAATCTTACTGTCATACCTAAGGGTGCTCCCCTGTGGGGCCCCCCCCCCCTTGCTAACAGGGAGACATGAGAATTGCCTCACACTGGAAAACCATTTGCTGCTAGAAAATAATACTCAAGTTCACTTCTCCAATTTTACAATTTTCCTCACCATTAACATTGTCAAAAAAATTAGTATTTCCCCCATCCAAAATAAAAAAATGAGTGAGACCACTGATTGGACGTAGAACATGAACCAAACTGCATGTTCATCTTAAAAACAAATGTGGTTAATATGCTAGATCATTTTATAAGTTTTGATTGATTACTTTGTGAACAGTTGTGCCTCCAAAAGTTTTCTTTTAATAGTAATGTCCTCTTACTATTGTAAAGTTTAGTATGTCGTTACTCGTAGAATATCATTAAATACTAAGTGGGATCATTGCAAGCAGTATTGCCAGCTACAATGTGCCGTTTGCAAGTAAGTGTGCACCCATATAGGTCAAATGTGTGTGTGTGTGACAACATTAGTGCTGTATTTACAGATACTTGATCCTATCAATCTACGCATTGGTACAGTACAACTACCTTCACAAGGTCATCTGTATGGAGCCTAATTAGATGATGTACCCTTCAAATTCCAGGCCGTGACTAATGCCATGAGCTTCCCTGCTAATTTTACATGGGAATGTTTCAAATGACTGATGTAGCAAAGATGCCTCACCTGAGCATGGATATAGGATCCCACAACATCATGGGCAGACCTTTAAACAGATCGTTCATCAATACTCAGAATGCAACGGTAGTTTATCAAGAAGGTTTATAAAGAGGCAGAATCTATGGTTGAAGTGTTGCAGTACAAATTCTTATGTTTACAGGAGTAGAGTATTAGCCAGCATTTATGTCATGGTAGTGTGGAGACTTGCTCTATTTTTAGTTACAAAGTTAAAAGCAAAGTCACATCCTTCACCTGCTCCAACCAGAATGGGCAGCTTGATGCATGTACCAATTGCAGATAGGGCTACATTATCAGACTATTCAGTGAGATAAGTTGCACATTTCTGAATACGTGTCTGGTGTAAATAAAACTTGATATTAAATTGTTTGATTTTAAAGGATATGTTTAAAAATATTTGTTTGAAATTAAATTGTTCAGCATATTCCCTTGAATCTGATTGCCAATTTTGTGGTGTGTTATTGTTTGTTTCAAATAATTCAATTGACCCAATTAAGCCCATGTTATTAGCCATATACATTGGAAGAAACGATTAACAAACCACAGATTCATTAGGCCAAAAAAAAAGTCTCCGGTTTCTGGTATGGAGCTTGCCCAAAAAGTGGTGCGGCGACGCGGCCTTTTTTTTTTTTACCTGATTTTTTTGCTTCATATGTCGGCTGATGACTGTAAATGGTGCCCGACTAAACTTAGTGCAAATATATGGGAGTCCAGAGAGGCCACATAAAGCTTATTCTCGACCATAACCCAATCTAAAAACACGTGAGTTTGGCGGTTTTGAGACATCATCTTTCATTGAAAAAAAAACTTTTTCTTTTTGCCGACGCGCATGGCTACGGCGACGCGCGCGCATACCAGAAACCGGAGACTTTATTTTGGGCCTAAAGCAGTGACTAGAGATTGTATAACGAGTTGTAACAAAATTGTTATTTCACGAATCTTAGGGAACATTGGGTTTTTCTACCCAGTTGGCATTTTTCCAGACGGAATGACCCCCATAAAACACGTTTTAGCTTAAAGAACAAATGGAGACTTAAAAGTACAGTTCTGTTTTAAAAACTTTTAAAAATTCGTTCAGTTCTTTAACAAGCTTAAAAAAAACACGTTTCTAATTCATATCAATATACGGTTTTAGTGATTCTTGATGCAAGGCATCCTTTTATCAGTTAAAATTGAATGGACCGGTTATGTAATTTTGGGAGGGGGTTATTGCGAGGAAAACATTTTAAAGTTGGAAAATCATTCTTATGTAATTATCATTCGTTTAAATGTATTAGTTTTCTTCAGCGTGGTGGAATATTGAGCGTATTATTGATGCATCCCCCAACCCAAACAACTATTCCTCAAAACGTATCATTATATCAGTACAATTTCCCTTGTAGTTGCGAGGGAATCATTCAGTTCTCTTCTGTCAGCACACGTTTGTGCTTGGTGGCCATTTTGATTCAAAAGGGGGGGGGGGGGGGGGTTGTGAAAAGATAAGCCCTATAAACTTGTTGTTCCTTCCCCCCGGCAAAAATGCCACAGAAATGTCTATTATGGCAACGTTTTCTGAAAAGATCAAACATAGGCCTTCTGTTTTTCAGCACCCCGCTCCTTTCAAGCAAAACCGTACCACGACAAGAGCACAACGGATAAAAAACGCAATGACGGACAGGAACTTCAAGAACAATGGACAAAATAAAGGCGGTGGCGTAGCCACTGGGGGGGGGGGGGCGACCGCCCCCCCATGAAACCTTGTCGCCCCCCAGTCGCCCCCCCCCCCCCCCCCCCCCCCCACTGAGATTTTGAGTTTCTAAAAAAAATCATTGATCTAAATCTAAATAGTCGCGAATGATCCACATGATGACCACTGAGAAACGACCCTTCGACCGAAGGGCGACCGCGGACCAGTAAGCTGACAACCGGCGTGACATAGCGCATAATGCGTGTTAACACCTACTGCACTGCTCGCTCACACCACGGAACACGTATTATAGACAGGTGGTCTGTGGGTCACACAGTTTCAGTCAGCGATATCACGCGAATCGGCCACGCACAAACTTTTTCCTCCATTCATATAAGCTAAATAATAATAATAGACCAATTAAAATTCCTTGAAATCAGTGGCGTAGCCACGGGGGGGGGGGGGGGGGGGGACAGCCCCCAGTCGCCCCCCAACTTTGTCGCCCCCCCCCCCCCAGTCTCCCCCCACTGAGATTTTGAGTTTCTAAAAAAATTATCATTGATCTACATGACGCCATGGGCGTCAATCCTGGGGGGACAGGGGGACTGGTCCCCCCCGCCTACTTTTTGAAGGGTGGGGGACACAATATCAAATGTCCCCCCCCCCCCAGATTTTTGAACTCGTGTCTCATTTACAGGGCCCTATTATGTACTACAATGTATCTTTTGCTTAGAAAATATTGGTTAAAGGGGTCAGAAATTGCCTCAGATAGCACCACAGAGCATTTAGAATCCAAAATTTTTCGGGGCCCTTAAGCGGGCCCCGAACCCCACGCCTATAGCTCAGAATTCTGGTAGCTGGTTCAATGACTCCAACCTCGAAAACAATGTTTAAAAAATGTTCTTATGCCTTTAGCTGAGAAAACCTCGAAAATTATGTTTAAATTAGTATCTTTTGTGCTAAGAAAATTATTGGTTAAAGTGGTAAGAAATTGCCTCAGATCACACCACAGAGCATTAAGTATTGCGTTATTTCGCAATAAGTATTGCGTTATTTCGCAATAAAAATATGTTTTCACTTTAAAATCTGGCACGAACGGGCCTCCGTACGTATGCACGTGCGCTGTCGATCTAGTCTTTTTATTCTCAGCCTCGACTCCAGGGGGCGCGTGCTCGTTCCTTACGATCGCGCAAGGCATGATGGGAAACAACATGGCGCTGCAAGTTGTTTTATTCTTTATCGCAACCTCGTCCCCAGTGCTTACTTTATTTCCAACCGCGTTGAGCAGGTAGTGGTGGGCGCGTACTGCTCGACACCCTGGGGACGAGGTTGTCTTATTCTAAAAGAGCCAAGCGGGGTGGGTTCAAACATTTTCGTAAAGGGGTGGTTTGAAGATAAAAAAAGTTTTTACCAATTTTGTATTTAAATAAAAGTTCAAATATATCAAATGAAAAGGATCTATAAGTCAGTTATTAAAAACAAATATTGAGTGGCTTTAAATTGTGAAATGGGAGGAAGATTATCGCTTGGTAAAATCTGGACTTTTTCAGTTCACTCGGCTTCGCCTCGTGAAATGGAAAAGTCCATATTTTACCTCGCGATGTTCCTCCCATTGGTGACCGTTTCGGCCGATTTCCGGCTGACTTTGACAGATTTTTTTGTAAAAAAAAATTGGACAGAGTGGCTTTTAATTTTGACAGGAAAACCAGAAACATTTTTTTTTAAATGGTACATTTGTTTTAAAGGGAATGTACATCAGTGGCTTTTGTTGTAATTTTCAGAAATGAACTATTTGAGGGGTTTGTATAATATATCAAATTTTGTGACACTGACATTTTTGAGGTTTTGTGTTCGGAAATGCTGGAAAAAACAAGAAAAGCAAAAATGTTCAAGTAGTCTGGTTCCCTGACTCCACGAAAGATGAAATGGATCAATTTATGGGTAGGCAGGCCTTAGGGCTACAGTGTTTAAGTACACTTTTGTTACCCTGGCCGGTTTGGAATGTTATATTGTCCTTGTTTTCTGTCCCTCCGTCTAGGCTCCTCTCCCCTGCCAAACTGCATGTCCACCCTCCCTTCCCTTCCCTCCCCCCTCTTCCCTCCCCCTCGACCCATTCCTTCTCGCATCCTTCAGTCTTGTCTGGTCATACTTTTTCAATTTCCAATTTTGTTTACTTGTTGATATATCTTTGCTTTGTCATTGTACTTTTGTTCATTTGTTGGCTGAATAAATAATAATAATAATAATAATTTATAAATGCTAGAAAATTGTAAGGTAAGGGAACGAGTCTAGCTGGCCTGCACCCATTCATGAACATTCATGAACCATTAGCAAACACAATTTTGACTGAAAAAAATGGTAAATTTGGAGCACTAGTTGAAAAAGGTGGTCCACCGACCACCGTTGGAAATATATACAACATTTGTGAAAATGACTTCACTCCATCCAGGCGACCATTACAAGATGCTTTAGACTGCACTTCCCAACATCCTAAGGTATTTTGTAAAAAGTAGTTTTATTTTTCGATGTTTGCAAATGTTGTATATTCCCATGCTTTAATACAGTGTTTTTATCTTTTCAAACAAACCCTTGCATTAAGGCAATACAAAAAACATCTGCATGTGATTTTTAGTGTTTGAAGTGTATTTCGAGTATTTCTTGGGAATTTGACGGATTTTTGATAAATCCGACAGATTTTCAAGCGCATTTAGCAGAATTTGGCCATGATCTTACGGTCAGCGGGGCTTTATCGCGGAGAAACTATGACCCATGACCCCTACATGGCAGCTAGCTTTCGATGAATCAGCTCGAGCAAACGCTCAAAATTTCCCCCTGCAAATTAAGATAACTAGATGTCTGGAGTACGAAATTCATTTGGCTAAACACCAAGTAAGTATCTGCCATCATGATTATGAATAGCTTGAGCAACTCCAGCTGACATGCTCATATTCATTCACATGTAGCGCTGGAGACATAACCTACCACTGCCTACATGACCCTAGTCGTGAGAGTGTGGTAGCGCTTAGCAAGGGTTTCGATCCAACTCGGACCCAAACCAACTCGGACCCAAGCCAACTCGGACCCATGCCAACTCGGACCCACTACCAACTCGGACCCACGCCAACTCGGACCCACTACCAACTCGGACCCACGACCAACTCGGACCCACGACCAACTCGGACCCATGCATGACCAACTCGGACCCATCGTTTTCAATCATTCGACATCGTTTTCAATCATGCGGCATTTCATAAAGTTTGTCCACTTCTCATCTGTTTACAATGATGCTGTTCAGTATACATTTTCATAGCCCCATAAATGTGGCCTATTTACTGGACTGCCTCCGTAAACATAGGCCACACATCCACATGTACAAAAATCGTGTCGACTTTGCCAAATTTTGATTTTCACATTTAGGCTTAGTTTGTAGGGTTTTTTTGCTTTAGAAGCATACTCACCCTCTTTATAGGCTAATCAGAAAGTGCTGCCTTTTTCAGATGTCTAATTTTTGTGAAATTTCATGTTGAAATTTTGATACGCAAACGTGTAAAAATGAATCTGGAAATTTCACGAAAAATATACATCTGAAAAAGGCAGCACTTTCTGATTACCCTATAAAGAGGGTGAGTATGCTTCTAAAGCAAAAAAAACCTACAAACTAAGCCTAAATGTGAAAATCAAAATTTGGCAAAGTCGACACGATTTTTGAACATGTGGATGTGTGGCCTATGTTTACGGAGGCAGTCCAGTAAATAGGCCACATTTATGGGGCTAACATTTTCATTGTAATTGTAAGGAAAATTATGTGTTTGCAGCAGTTACAATAACATTTTTGTTGTTGTAAAGCGCATTGAAATGCTATTTTGAAATGCGCTTTAAAGGTGTAATTAATTATTTATTATTATTTGTTTCCATTAAAACATATTGCGCTTTGAAAGTTTCACCAATTATTTATTTTCATTAAAACATATTAATTGACATCGCTCACGCCATCTTGCTCCATTAACAGCAATTTATTTCATTTTTAATCAACAAAAGTAACAAAATATACAAATTCAGAACAGATATTCATAGAAGAAAAAAAAGTATGGCATTGATTCCATAATAAACTCTTTCAAACATAACATTATTAACTCAATAAATATAAGTAAACATTATAAGTCAATAAATAAAATAAATAAGATATAAAAACGAAGTCTGTTCTAATCTCTATTTTAAAAACCCCCACATAAGTAGGCCTATACACCATTGCATACATTGCAAGAAAAACGAAGGTTCCATATTAAACAAAAAAGTTAAATCAAAAAAGTATAAAAAGTTAAACAGATTCGTAAAAAAACGCCACAAAATTCAAAGCCACCATGTGAATTAAAAAAAAAAATCAAGTTAAATCCCCTACAAAAAGATGCAATGTCAATCATCAAAAAGGACTATTGGAGCTCTGGGAAGATTATCCTTCAAGGCCTTACAGGTGGCTGCCTGTATGTTCCACTATGATGTTCGGGGGGGGGGGGGGGGGGGGAGTGAAAATATCAGTAAATATGCCCCTGGCAGGACTGCGTCATTTTCCTCCTATAAAAAGAAGCAATTAGGCATCGACTTTGATGTCATGCGAGAAGAAAAAAATTAAATTGATAATTAGCATTACATTAGTTATGAGCTTTCTAATGAGTCATCGCACAAAAAAACAAACAGCCCATGACAAGTAATCTATTAATCAATTTCAACCTCAGCAGGACGCTCCTCAATTTGTTCTGAATATAGTGCGCGCCACTTCCAACCACTTGTTACAAGACACAAAGGCCTGCAAAAACGAACCAGCAATTTATTTCCTACTGAAAATTATAATCCTTTGAATTTCGTTTGGAAAAGAAAATCAAGATTTTGAAAAAGCACGTATATATCAACAAATGACATGCGAAATGCCTAACCTATACTATACGCTACTAATATCTCTTGGAAAAAGCTAAGCACGTTAGTTTCATGACGTTCAAAACGATAAGCGTTTAGCAACAGTATACTGTATGCATCATAAAATACCGCTCCACACAGCGGCAATAAAAGAAAACAACAAAACTAAAAGCCCCATTCTGCCCAATATAATTGCAGAATATCTTCACTCTATAACAATGTCACATTAAGATAACCTATAGATATAATCTCTGAAACTAATGATTGAGTCATTGTTGGGTCTGAGTTGGTCATGCTTGGGTCCGAGTTGGTAGTGGGTCCGAGTTGGTAGTGGGTCCGAGTTGGTAGTGGGTCCGAGTTGGCATGGGTCCGACTTGGTTAGGGTCCGAGTTGACCTGATACCGTAGCGGTTGACCCTAAAATAATGGCCTCTCAAAAATTGTCGATTTTCACCTCTAATATCCCACCCCACACCCCAGATTTCATTTACATACCTCGTACATTCAGCAGTCATTCACAAAGCTAATGATCGACTTGAAACAGACCACACAAAAAAACAAATGTGAAAAATCTTGACGATTTCGGTGGCTTGTCCGTAAAAAAATGCCAGTTCCAACGGCTGTCGTCCATTTTGTTTTGTTATTTATGTAACTGTATGCATCACATGATGACATCGAAAAAAAATTCTGAAGGTTTGCATGGTGGAAAGATACTAAGCCAAGATAAGTTTGCGGTAGCACCATGCATGTGAATAAATCTCTTTTGTGAGTATCGTCCGGTGCCCCAAATTCGCACTGCCCAATATTCGGGCAACCAACTTTCTCGGCTCGTATCTTTTTTAACACAACACGGACCGACGTCAAATCACCGTCGATGATCCATCGTTACATCGCCTTTCTTCTCGATGCAGTTATGCAGAAATCAAAAGCTTTTCAGAGAAGTAATTTGAAAGAAATCAAAGAGAGTGTAAATTATTGCTGTACCGACTAGATACAAAACGTCACATTATTGAATGGCCAAGAAAACTAATACAAACATCGCTACGAATTTCCAATCAGTGTCGCCGTACAACCCCAAAACGTGAAAGACATTTTCGGTCGACTTTCACTAAACAACAGAGGGCGTAATCAGAATTAAGGAGCACGAAATACGACGTGCGGCTTATATCGCGTTTTTATTTTACGATCTGTTTTGCCAAGATGCAGATTTCGGTACCGAGTTGTTTGTTGGAATGAATATGCCTTAAAATATATTTCTGTCAGAATAAGACCTAATCGTAATATTTAAAGTACCCAAAAAGTAGGCCAATACCTATGTTTGTTTTTATTGAAATGATGTGTATCATGCAGCCATGTGTCGAGGCGGTGCGATCGGCCACGGTATTGGTCGACCGCGTGCTAGGCGCGCGCGCCTGTATAATTGATTGATTGATCGCAGGTGTATTAGAATGAGCAATGAATGCCGGAGAAAATTGTTACAGAAGGGTGGTTTTGTTATGTTTTTGATGGAGGAGTCATTTCAAATATATTTGTCCATGTTCTTAAAAATATAACCAACTATGTAGGGTTTAGTTTATGCAAGAAAAAAAATCGGTCAAAGTACTGTGCGCGAAAAATGGTCACACAAGGATATGTGTGGTTTTGAAAAGAACCAGAGGGACTCAATGTTTGGAATAGTATGCTCTGCCCGTCGTCAGGAGAATGAGGGATTCCAACGATGATGATATGTTATAAGGATGGGTGCGGTGAGGTGTGAGAAGGATGCAAACTGGTGAAGCAAGTTGCGATGCGTCGGCTGTTTCTTGTACAATTGATTCGCCCATACTTAATGGCTGCGCACTATAATACTATCGGTTGAGAGATTGTACAAGAAACAGCCGTCGCATCGCAACTCGCGCGCCTGTTGAGCAACAAGATCGATTTGCATAAGCGCGACATCACAGCTTTGGGATCATTGCTTCGTACATTCAAAATGGCTGCCATCAACAGACGATTTTTGCGTGCATTTGGGCTCCAGAAAGATTAAAAAATTTCTCGGAAAATTGGATATTATTACACCTAAGCATCCCAGAAGTGAAGAGCTGAGACATCATTAAATACAACCATATGTAAGAAAATTTGTGTAATTTTTTGAGAACCTCCTCAGTAGTGTGCAATAACTTGGTGTGTGGCCAGAGGTTCAGCGCAGCATACCGCAGCCACACTAGTGGGGCTAGGTATCACAGTGTAGGACTGTACCAGACAGTTGATTTTTCTGCTGACAAAATATTATGATCTTAAATTGATTTTCGGCTCCCCTAGCAACGGAACCATCGGCGCACAGGCCATATGTGGGATGTGTGACTGAATATACAGAGGTAGTCATTTTCTTATGGGACTAGTAGTGGTACAGTAGTTCCGGATTTTTCCTAGTTCCGGAGCGCTTCAATATAAAAACCTACCTCTTTATGATTAGCCTTCAATCATTTTTTTTCTGATAAGGTGCATTTTGAAAAGGAAAATTTAAACTTCTTGATAGACTTTGAGTGCGTTCGATTACTTCCCCCGCACTTACTTGTGCAAGCATGACAGCGTTCGATTTACCTCTCACGTGACTTATTGCGCTTACTCCAGCCTGGCCCCAGTAACCGACTCGCCGAGCCAGTTACTTGGGTAAGTATCCCATAAGGGATAAAGCCATGCAATAAACATGGCTGCCAATGTGCCAGGCGCCTCATGTGTCATGTCAAAGGTCAACTTTCCAGCAGCTCTTGCACGAAACTTTACTCACGTCGACAGGTGCGAGTAAGCTGGGGAAAGTAATCGAACGCACTCAATGATTCTTTTGATAAAATCTTTAGAAGAGGACTTTTGGCAGATTTCCGTCTCACACTTTGACAAGTTTGGAAGGTTTGTAGAAAATCGCGGCAGCTGCGAATCGACGATAAATTTTCTCCTCGGTACATCACTCGTACCGTGTGATTTCAAATATTTTGTTCATACACTACAGTTGTATAAACTCTTCCAACGAATGCTTGTTGAATCAAAATAAGTTGTAGAGTCTGTAATATTTGAAAATTCGCCAAAGAATGACCGTATGCTTTTGCCTAGTTCCGTATCGCGCGTGCACTTATGACCCAACTACATGCACGTTGATCGATTTTGTGTGACGTATTCTGCACTGGGTCAAAGGTTTTTCGGTCCGTGCGTGAGTTCGTGCCAAAGTCTAAACTCCAAATAATTTTCGAGTACTAAAAGTCGAGTACATGCGTGTACTAGTAAGAGTATACAAGTACTCCAACATTGTACAGCTCTGCCTCATGCAATTCCTCCTGTTTACACATAAGTATTTCACCACAGTGAAACACTTCACAAAAACAAATATTTTCTTCACACCAAATATTGCATTAGATCAAAGCATCAACCACTGGTCTAATCAGACTCCAACTGATGACCTCTCTGCTTTCACAGTTCCTGCTCCATTTTCCAACTAAATGTCAGAGTTTATAAAAACAAAAATTCTGTTAAGGAGAATACACGAGAAAGTGTGGATTCGTAGTTAAGAATCCACACTTGCGAGTGTATTCTTTGACTTAAACCATTGCGTCAAATGAAGTATTGGCATTAACAGTGAGAGGAGATGAAAAGACTTGGGAAAAATGATGCAACCTAATGCCACTTCCGCGATTGTGTACAAAGTCTATGGAGAGTCAAGAAAATGTTCTAAGTATTTCCTAACAAAATTGGAAATATTTTTCAGTCCCAGATTCATGCCTTATCATCATTTTTGCAATGAATGACCTTCATTGAGATGATATATGAAGAAAAAAATGGCGTCAGGTTGCAACATTTTTCCCGGCTCCTTCCTTCGACATATGGATAGTTCAGACGATGATTTCTTTCTGACTCGAAGTGGGTTTTGCAGTGACGGCGGAGAATGACTCTGACAGTGAAGATGCATTGGTAATTTCGGAAGGAAATTTTCACGCATACGGTCCTATTAATGCTCATTATGGAGAACAATTGTCCGACATGTTCAAAGTGTGGATTCGTAATTCCGAATCCACACTTTACTAAAGATTCTTCGTTCCGAATCCACACTTTGTGACCAGCGTAACAGATTCGTAGTTCCAAATCCACACTTTTAACAATAGTGTGACGTCATAGCAATGGTTTAAACAATCTGAACTTAGTCACTGCATAAAACTGACCAACAGGAATATTCATGTGAAATTCAGTTCGCCCTTCTCCTTATTAACCCTAACCCTGTCAGACGCAACACTACACAGTGCATCAGGTGGAAATGGGAACACTGCTTTAATTAAACAGAGTTAGACACTGGCACTGTCTTACTTTGAAGTTGTCATTTTGAAAATAATTTTCTGTAACATCCCCAATGGAATGGTTGAATAAGTTAATTCATTGGTGATTATTGATTCCATCCATCTGATTAGGTACTGTCATCTTAACCATGAGTTCAATTAAAGTAACACATGGCTCATCTCACAAGTATGCAGTGCAGGGAAAGAGGACCAAAGATGCATTATCAAGGGAGGAGCAAGATCTGTTTGAGCTATGCAGTCTAGCAGGGGTGGATATAAGCCCTGCTGTTTTTAGGTAATATGGATCTCCTAAAATATACTGTACTGACATTTGTCAAATGATGTTGAATTTTAATGGGCTTTTCCACAAACTTTGCAGAAAAGCTGATCTGGTTGGCTTTTCTGCAAAGTACATGTAGTGGAAAAGTCTTTGTGTTTTTACCTGCTCCCCCTCCCCTTTTTTGGGGGACTTCTTTCCAAATGCCATAGACTTTGGTCACTTTTAAAGCTCAGACCATGATCAAACTAATAGCCCAAGCATGACATCATATCATCTTGAGAGGGGCAAGAACTTTGCCCAGGTCGTCGGGCAGCGTCGGGCCTATTGTTGAGTTCAAACAAAATGGAACAAAAGAAGGAAAGGGGCAGGTCCTCATGAGTATAGTAAAACACGACTGCGTGGGTGTGTGTGTGTGTGTTTATTCCAGCATCAATGGACACAGAACTTTGAACAGCCTGTGGAACAATGTCTGCTATAGCCTTTATTCAGTCCATTTCATGAAATTTCGACATGCAAATGATCCTAAGTGGCTTTAAGAAATAGTTTAAGTCGGAGAATAGACTTGGAACTGTAGATACCAGTACATTCATGCAAGAGTGGACTGGCTTTGCCTCGTCCATTCTCGTTGATGTCAGTTGCATGACATTTAGCTTGTTTTTATCATTGTATCGGCAGGATTATTTTGGATCTACTCCGGATGAATGTGTCTCCTGTTGCAATTGTCCAGATGTTAAAATCAATGGTGCAAAGAAGTGCCAAGAGTTCAACCACTTCGACATTTCAAACTGTATCTAGTATGCAGACACCATCTTCATATGTCACTGAACCTTCAAAGAACAGCAGCACAGCCATGACGTCTGGTGCCTTAAAGACAAAAGAGAATCAGCATAGCAGCAAGCTGGGCATGAAAACAACAAGGTCCAGACCACCTGCAAAGTATTCACACAAGACCTGAAGTGTTTATACAAATGTATATGCATGTACATGTACAGTATTTAACACTATTTAAAGTGTAACAACTTTAAAACTGTTTGATGCAACTTGAGTGTATCTAAGTGCACGCTACAGCCCTAAATGGACACAAAGAAATGGTTTTATTGCAAGAATAACTGCCTCATAGGGAGCAGTGGAATAGCGTTTGAGTGGGTTGACATTCCTCCCCAACAACGTTCCCCAACATAAAGAAAAGCGGAAAGAAAAATAGCCATTTCATCTCACTTTAATGCATTTTCACAGCTCATAACAAAGTCTAAGTAGACCCAAAACGACACAAAACGTTAGTAATTAGATACTACATGTATGTCCCGTCAAAATTAGACCCGCCTCAAAATGGTGTACATGTTTGTATTTGCTATGGCTCACTTCACTTTCATTTTCATGCTGGCCATTAGTTTTTTGCCCAGACATCATTTATTTGAAAAAGAATTAGCTGTAAGCAACCTGCTTATAGTATACACGTGCATGTACATGCATGTATGTACAAGAAGTACTCGCAACGGAATTCATTCATTCATTTACATGAACAAAGAAAGATGGCATGAACAATTTGTTCAATTACATGTGTATTTTGGCATTCTTGCAGAAACCGACGTTATTGTGTTGAGCTTATTTACGTACATTTTGCTTCAGTACTAGCACTGTATGCACTTAATGGTGAAGACAGAATTCCATGGTAAATTACACCCATATTATTTAGCAGAAAGTCCTCAAGTTTGTCATTTGTGCCTGCCTTTGCTTTATTTACTTCACTTTACACTTCACAAATAGTCCAAGTAAAAGGCCAAGTGTCTTCACATTTCACCAATATTTTTTTTACAACAAAATGTTTCCCAAAGCAAGGTCTAGCAGATCACAGAATATGGACACTACGTGTTCATTTTATTTTTGTTTTGTTCATTTGTAAAGAACAAATGAGTGTTTTTGACAGGAAGACTGATGTCATCAACCATATTGCACATGAGAAGCGGCAGTAGTCTAACATAATGAGGCACATTACATGTGTCTTCATCAATTTCTATGGCTTGGGATCCAGAAGTTGAGGTGTGGGTAAAAGTTATTCAAACATGAAAACAGTATGAGGCGTGAAGAGTAGTTTAGACTGGGTGCCAACTTGCATTCTCTGTGATTTGATTGCATGTACATGTATGCATTTATAAACAGATGTTTGCAATACGAACATTAGTCCGGTCAATTTAGAACAAAACAGGGCCTGACCTAGAACAAATTGCAATAGAATTTATTTTAATGTGACCACGCTAAGGAAATATCACTATTTAACATACTGAAAATCTAATTTCATCAAAGGAGTGGGAAAGTGTTTTCATTCACTTTTTCACTACTAATTTTTCATAATACGTAAACAGCCGTATGGAGAGCGTCATGTTTTCTTTTGCGCCCTTTACTCGTCAGAAAATCCGTTCACATCACGTATGAGACTTTGCGAGACACGACTGATCACAGCAGACGACTTTTCTATGTCCACCAATTATTAAAACACTGCCGCACAATACTAAAGGATATTTTTTTGACAAAATCAAGAAATTTGAGATTGTTGTGCTTCCCGAAATATTTTTAGGTTAATATAAATCACTTTGTGCCCCCCAAAAAACATTTGTTTCATAGAAAATCTTTGCATAAAGAGGTCTACTTGAATAAAAGGCGGAAAATGATATACACAAAGAGATCCATTTAAATTTAAATTTCAGGTGTCTACGCCAATAGGCCAGAGTCCAATTTTAAATATTAGGGAAAATATCTGAAATCCGAGATTCGTGTGTTCCTTCTGTGTTAAATTTAGGTCATTGGCATAACTTATAAATAAGATATAAATTGTCAAAAAAAACCCTTACTAAAGCCTGGCAAATTAACAGGATTAAAATTTTGCAGTGAAATTATTTTTTTTGCTGAATTCTGCGCTTTAGAGAAAAGAAATATATAGTGTAAAAAGTGTATTACGTCTACAAATAATACAAGTTTCCCCAGATCAAAGCCTTGGGGGGGGGGGGGGGGGGGGGGACGGACCGTGCCAGTGAGATCATTTTTTAAAGTAATACTAACGCGAGGTCTGTTCAATCCAAAGAATCCTTTTGTCGGGACTCTAGTATGCTTATCTGGTGTAGTTCATTTCACTCTTGACTGTACAAGCAGATGTCTCAATTACTTTTCGTACCTCAATTAAGATGATCTCAATTTAGCTGTTTAAAGTTACTGTACCGTACTTATGAAAAACATGGAAAGCTCATGTACAGAACTACATCTGTTTCTCATCAACCTCGCCCATTAACTTTTTTTCTTTGTGATCGAAGTGTTTTGTGATGTTTTGTTTCATATTTTCATGTACTAACAAAATGCACTGTAAGCTTCACAACCTGAGCCCAGTAATTCCTGAATTTTCTTAACCAAATCCAACATCATTTTCAGGCGCTCAATCAATAATATTTAATTAAAGATCTCGCTTTACTTTACAAACGGTCCATGCATGCACTGTCCAACCGTTTACCAGCTGTATGATCAGAATGATGTTTAGACATCCCCGGCCCTTTTTGCAAATAATTGTTTCTCGTCAGTGGACTTATTGCGCAAAGTTTCGGCGGAAAGTCGTCCACTCCATCCGTAGTGCCCTGTATAAAATTATAATTTGAAACAGTCGTCTGCTGCAAAAGCATGTGGTCATGAATCCTAAACAATATATAGACATGTAAATCGCAGCAAGTCACCAGACGAATTGTTCGAGGACAAAATGTCTCAAATTTGTTATCTGAAAAAAATGTTTGAAAAACACCCTTCCACTCCATAGAAACAAGATTTTTCACATGTTGTTTGTGTATTTATGAAAGTCGTTTGACGCTTGAATGGTTTCTATTGCAATTTGTTCTAGGTCTTAACTTGAATTGACCGGACTACATGACAGGTATGAATATAGACAGTGCCTCTCTTCGCTGCTCCCTCATCCATTATAGAGTGATTCATTCGGCCCCACCCATTGTAGGCAATGACACGTGTCTCTATGCACTCTGTGCACAAACAGTAGATGGTGCTTTTTGACCACCTTTTTCAGGAGCTCCAGTTGAGCACACCACGCACATCAGACGCCATCAGGAATGTGTTAAAATGTAAGGGACATCAAGACTGGGAGAGCCCAGTGCTATCCCCCAATTGCTCTTTGTAACCATGAAGGGGGTACTTGTGCACAGAGCCCATAATGCCGCATACGTTAAGATTTACACACATTCATTGTGAAGTAAAAAGAACTTCTGAAAACACAAATTACATTGAATATAAGTGTAGGCCTTTATATTGATAACACATAACTTCTGGTTTGATGACGTCACAACATTAGGAAAATTGCCCAAGGTCAACATTGTAGCTGATGTTGTTACGTGTGCTACAAACGTCATCACTCAACCTGAATCAAATGAAGGATTTGAATTTTAGAATTAAAGAAAAGAAACCATATCATTTTCAAATTCTCCCTACATATAAGTTCTGGTCTGATGAGATTGGGATCCTGAAACCTCGCAAAATTCATTTGCAGTTGTCCAAAGAATATATAAGGGTAATTTGGTATAATTTCGATAAATGGCTTTAAATTTAGAAAAAAATCAAGTGTCTTTGACATGCCGCTAGAGGGCGCCCTTTTGGGAAATGATGTCATCATGTCGATATTTGTGTTGGGCATTACTGATCATTTGCATAATTTATATAATTGTAATAAAAATACTTCTTTTTTAAAGGGAATGTACAACATTTGCTTTTGCTGCAATTTTCAGAAATAAATGGATTTGGAGGATTAGTATGTTATATAAAATATTGTTTAACTGACTTGTTTAATGTTTTGGGCTTGTAGATGCTGGAAAAACCAAGAAAACCTATCATGTTCTTGTAGTCTGGTTCCCTGACCCCACTTAAGATGAAACGAAGCAATTAATACACTTTGGGGAATTGTAAGGTCAGAGAATCAGTCTAGCAGGCTTGTACCCCTTCACAGGTGTGTGATCAATTGCAAAGAAAAGTCAGAATAACTAAATGTGTAAGGACACAATACTGGCTAATTTTAGGGTGGAACTCAATGTTGTCATGGTGGTTTAACATGTTAGGTACAAGTATGAAGGGATAAATAAAATTTTGAAAAATCCACAATTTTCATTTTTTAGTGGTAAAAATTCTTGATTTTTGGTGAAAATTTACCTCGAAATACCACTTAAAAACGGGACATAACAAGTAAGCCTTTTTGAATGAATTAAAAACACGCTTACAATTTATTTCCTCAGATGAATATTGTATTGAAGTTGTTAGTAATGGAATGAATTTTACAAATACAGGTAACCTGTATTCAAAATATTTCTGGTTTGTGCACAGGGACGCCAGATAAACTATTTAACGTAAGTTACGTTTGGTGTCTACCTATTTAGCATATTTACTGGGGTCTTTATAAACCCTCCTTAGTATATCCTACAGTAATTTCAGATGATTAAGTCTTCAGAAGCATAATATCAGTTCCTTTATACACAATGTACATAAGTTTTTAAACTTTACCTTTCCTTAAATCATATTTAAGGGTGGGTCACCACTTTGGTGTCCATTTTTATTCAACATAATGAATGCCTAATTCATTATGTGTTAGGAGGAAAGGCCAAATACTCCAACAGTGATGTTGTACCCTACATGTGTACCAATATATCTAATCACAATAAGGACATTTGATCTACATAAAAAAAATCAGTCATTCTACACTATGTAACTAACGATAAATGGTGTCCACTAAATGGTGTAACTAACGTAAGTATAAGGCTACATGGGTAGAAAAGTAAATAATAGCTGATTGGTTTTGAACAGCACATTACTTTCTGAGGAATATTTAGCAGTTTAAAATATTTACTGTGATATCCAGAGCACTAGGAGTACAAATGCCATGCATGTGATTTAACGTTAGTTACAGCTGGACACCAAAGTTGCATTAGTTACAATGTGCACTTTGTATAATACGATAGTTAATATCTACAAGCGACAACTTCCCATTGGAATATTGGTGTTAATTAGTTAAAATGGGTCCCTATGGTATTATGGAGAACAACAATTTAATATCAGTTTTGGGCTCAATAATAATATAAAGTTATGTAAATGAAGGCCTCTGTGGTGTCCACATGTAACTTACGTAACATTTTGATACAGAGAATGTCAAAAGAGGTCCATATAAGATTGTCACAGGAATATAATTATTAATGGATGAATTTCTCTCTGAGGTACTTACTGTGAGAAACTGTTGTCATTAAATTTTCAATTGATCTGCTATTAAAATGGTTTAACAATTAAATCTCTCATTTTATTTAACCTTAGTTACGGTGTCCACTTGTTAAATTTGCGACAAAATATTACATAAAAAAGAAATCGTCAAAATTTTACATTTTCAGCAATAAATAGCTTATATTGCAATAAAGAAACTATAATTATCTCCATTTCTGCCAATTATGGTCTGGTAACAAGCAGGAAGTGGACACCATGTAACTAACGTTAACTTTCTCTTTATCACCAACATAAAGCTGCTAATAAAGGAAAGATGCTTTAAAACTTATCTTCTCATTATTATTTTCTACTGAGGGAAGGCCGGTCAAGCATTACGAAAGGGAAACAAAATAAATACAACCAATTTTATTTTTGATCCCCATGTCCCTATTTTATTCTCCAGTATTGTGTCCTTACACAAATATGAAAAATTAAGAATAGTTTTTGAAAAAAGCCAGTTTTCTCCAGGAGCCACGATTTTAAAGGATGCTTTAGACTGTCAGTCCCTACCAATTCAGTAAGGTATTTCATGATAATTTTATCATTTCGTTTTTTGATGTTTGCAAATGTTGTATTTTTCCTTGAAGTTGACATTCAATTCTCAGTGCTCTTCCAGTTACACCAAAAGTAAAGGTCATGGCTTTGTGTCCAGGAATAAAAAAATATTGCCTGAGGCAATGTTAACCTGATTACAAAAATGAGAACTCAGGTCGTGACCTTCTGGTAGCCCCGGAAGGAAAGGTCGAGCGACTTCACGATCTATCTGATTACCAAGTATGAACATGATTGATGATTTCATTCATGAGTAATAAGTGAAAGAACTTGTCACTTTTTCAACTAAAATCACTTGTAATTTGATATATGACGACATAATCATGAAATCAGAGTAATATGCACAACTTGAGATCAGGGTTGATTTTTTGTTCAATATTTTAAGTTTATACCATGTACCCTCCAGAAGAAAGCAGCTGAGATTTATGGTCCTGAAAAAAAAAATGACAAAAGAAAACGGTTTCAAAATGGTGATCGAGTTGAGAACGAGCCAGTATTTAAAGGAATATCGTTTTTATTCCAAATACGCTTGCAGATTCAGGGATGTCACTTTTCAGGCTATAGTCAGAACTCGGGCTTTGTCATGTTTTGGAGAAAACAAAATCAGGCATTCCATTTTTTCCACGTGTGTGTAGCACACACAGAAAGAATTGTGCATGCGAAGCTCCATGGCAATCACCATGCTAAATGTAGCTCCATACACGAATGTATAAATAAAATTGTATTAGTTCGAAGTAGACAAACAATATATATGTACACGTGATATTGCAATGCATGTGTTTATGGTGTATTGCAGTTGGCCGTCTTTCACGTGTCAAATTTTTCAGGCCCTAGTGCAAAAACCCACTGGCATCCTTGGCAGATTGCTTTAAACCATACATATAATCATTCTTAACACCAGTCAGAGTTGTTTGCGTATTCGCACAGCCTGAGATTCATGAAGGAATGCACACGCAACCTGTGTTGAGGGATATGACAAAATAGAGGTACATGTACGTTCCAATGTTTTCAAACAGCTGTGCGAATTCACAACACGCTGCACAGGACTGCCACAGGATTTTGCAGGATTCAGGCTTGAGGCTATATGCCATTTTACCACGAGGCCACTTGGAGGATTTTGCAGGATTGAGGCTACATCCTAGCAAAAAGGCCTAGGGAGTTAGGGTTAAAGGTTTTCCACAATAACATTTAAAAGCCACTTTGGTCTGCATATTATTTATGTTATGTCACATTTTTTTAAAATCAGACAAAATTTTACTTAAAATAAATAGTACTCCATAAACGTGTTAAAATTAGCACAACTTTCAGTTCATTTTTTAAAACCTTTGCAAAATGTGTTCCACTCTTCCACACCCACTGAAAACAATGAACAAGTCTTCTAAGATTGGATTGGTCAAGCTGTTGCAGCACACAATGCATAGTAATGATGTTGCATATGCACTGATGAATAAATTGCTGGGGGGTACTCGTTGCAGATTGATCAAGACGGATTGAAATTACATACATGCACATGTTCTGCGTATGTACATTGTATGCGTACTGTAGACACCGTGCACGCACTGTTAAAGATGTTAGTGATGCAATTCAGGGCTGGTTGTTGTGGAAGCAGCTGTTGAGGATATCAAAATATAAAAAGTCTGACTTGAGCAAAGTCATGCAATAACTCCTGAGCATGGCCTGATAGTACTCAGCACTTTGGCACTGGGGCATAAACTAATGTACTATCAAACAAATCAAGTTGAATTAATGGTTTCCCCACTGACAATATGTGAATATACATGTACACCTGGGAAACAGTCAGCCAAATGTCATTTTACAATGTTTGCATCCAACCGTTCTTAAGCAAACCTTCAGAAAGACTTATTGCCCTACAAAGCCTACAGTTCCATATCATCATCATCATCCACTAAATCAAACAACTGAGTTGCATCTGTTGAACTCGAATCATTTTTCCAGTCGGTCTTGTCATGAGAAGTATCTGCTGTGTGTTTGTTGGCGGTATCATTGAGACCATGTACTTGACCGGCAGAAGGGTTGATGGTGTCATTTGACTGGCCATCAGATCTATCTTTGGAAATCAAGTCTTGAGAGGCTGATGGGTTGATGACATCAGAAATAAATGAGGATGGTGGTTTCCACAGGACAATCTGGTGGCAGATATTGGACCTGTCATGAAGAAAAAAACAAGTAAATGCTTGGACAGCACACAGTGAAACTGTAACGCGTGTATTTCTAGGGAGTCATGACTGTGGTAAAGTCACTGTGGTAGAGAACACAAGAGATGATTCAACATCATTGGTATTTCATTGTACATTGCCTCGCGATAGAGTCCAGAATATAAATATCTCAAAACCATGGTAAACATGTTTGCACTCTATAAAATAGCTGAAACTCATCAGATTGGTCCTATGTCCAGTAACTGAACACTCTACAAGCTTGATAAATTGGGTCCCAAATCGCGAGAAATATGGATGTATTGATATATATGTAAAATCTTCTTTTCCTTAACTTAATGCATTCACAGCATCTGTGCTGCATTATCTTTGATTATGTGTATTGTGTGCACTTTTAATTAAAAACCAAAAATTATCATACAAAAACATATGCTATAAGGCCACCAAATGATGGACAAATTTCAAACTCAATATGGGACCAAAGCTTCTCACATGTCCTGTGTGGATGTAGTGAACATGACAATTTTGATTTGGAGACTTAAAGCTACAGTCCATCATTTGCAGCTATCCAAAAAGTAACTGAGCGTCCGAGAACATGTCTCGGACGCTGAATTCAGGTCCAATTCAAAACATGATTCAGCAACTTTTGATTTGAAATCGAGATCTTAAAATGCTGTTTTTCTCGGAATAAACAGCTGAAGCTGAGCTGAAACTTCATCAGGTTAGTTGTTCAGCATACTTCTTTAGATTTTGAGCATGTTTGCTGCTTCAAACAAAATGCACGAATTACAAATGATGGACTATACCTTTAAATATCCTTCAAGTTTATTGTGGGAATTCCATGGTAACTTGTGTTACATTTTAAAGGGGGTCTTATTTGATATCAAAAGTCAAAGCACTTAACGTGGGCTTTTCTCTCAGAACTACAAACACTACAAAAAAAGATGCCAACAAATTACGTTGGTTTGGCAATAACTTTTTATCAATAACTGGCTATACAAAATACCAGGACATAGTAAAAATTTAAATAACCGGCATTTGAAAGATGACTCCTCTGTGCACTATTGGCAGAATCTCAAGTGCCCTCATGTCTTTAGGTACGCTATGTACATGTATGTACCGTAATTTTCGGAATATAAGCCGCGGCTTATACGTTGAATTTGCCCATGAAAATGTTTACTGCAGCTTATACACAGGGCGGCTTATACGCAGAGCCTTGAAGAATAAAAATGACATTTACATGTGTATTTAATGCACTAGTACAAGAAGAGATGTGTTGCTGACATAATTATCAATTAAGAAAGTCATTAACAAACCGAAAGCACGTCCCACAAAAAGATACCGAGCGGTAAAAAGTATGGTTAGTGAAAGCTGTCCCTTGGACATCGACAATTAACCGGCCGTACGTGATGCTGCCTATGCTGCATGCATGCTGCATGGATTCCCCATGGACCACACCATTTGTGGTAATAAAGGGGTGCACTTTCCTGGGAACAATAATTACCAATATTTCCCCAGTTTAAAAAAAGGAAAAAGACAACTAATACTTTTTATGGAGTTTGAAACATATTTTTATTTGATAATCAGTTGTTAAACGTCACAATATAATTTTTTTTCTTGAAATGTATTCAAGAAACGATGTAAAACTCAAAGCAGGGGTGAAACCACCCCTACGAAATTAATGGATTCGTCCATAAAATCTCGGCATCGTGTTGACTGTTTTCGAAGAAAGTTACGATCCAAACTTGAAGTTTTGACGTTACTACTCGTTAGTAATCACAACAATTTGAAGTTTTGCTGTAAAAACGGACTTGTTTATCCTTTAGGACAAAACAACTCAGCGTCTGTTGCCACAAAGCAGGATTTGTAGTGCTCCACAACATGCGCTCCACACATGGTGGGTTGCATACTCTCTAAAGTGCTGGGGGAAAATAATGTCATTCGCCGGCACAGGCTCACTGACGATCCAGCCGGCAGCAATTCCCGTTTTTTATTTCTCATCATCAATTTCCATATTTGTTTGTAAGAGTAATCGACTGTAAATGATTTGACATAACATTTGTGGCCCTTTTATAGCTTTCGTAGTGCAAATGGAACTGGTTCAGAGCATTTTGATTAGAATTTGGAGGCCTTACGAAATTGAACCGCTGCGGTTGCGGGTGCGGCTTATACGCCGATGCGGCTTATACGCCGACTTCAAATCTTAATTTGCAGATTTTTGCGTGCTGCGGCTTATACGCCGCGCGGCATATATTCCGAAAATTAGGGTACATGTACTTTCCCTCGACAAAGCCAGCAATCTGGCACTCCCTGTGACCTATGGGTTCTATGCACCACAGATACCATGTGCTGCACTTTGCGACGGTTGAAAATGAACAGCATTTTTGTCCCAGCACCAATGGACTTGAAACATTGAACATCTCAGTTGACAAATGTCTGCCAGTAGCCCCTTATCAGGCCATTTGTAACAAATGCAAATGATCATATTATTCTCTTGAGGGCGCTAGCCATTCCCTTAGATTTATTTCCAAAAGTACTTTTTGGCCCACTGGTCATTATACTTACAGGAGCGCAAGTGAACACATACGCAAGAGTGGGAAGGTGGGTGGTTCACTCTACGCGGAATTATTCACTATTACTAGTAGTAGAATCTCCCAACACTTCTGTGGGGGGGGGGGGGGGGGGGGTGCTACTGCACTCATCTTGCCCGTAGAGCATTACTATATGCAGGGTAGCACCATTGCAGGCAGGTGGGTTTGAGCGTACAATATTATAGTGTCCGAAGAGAAAGGCGCGACGCAAGTAAGCAAGAGCAGTGCTGCAACTGATCCACCAAGTTCAGTTCGGTTTGGTTCATTTGCGATTCGATTTTTTTTCCCGAACTTCGGTTCGGTTTGGCTTCAGAAGTGCACACATAATGTACTTGTCCATTCCATGTATTGGGCTACAATGAAAAGCAGGCCAGGCCGTTAATTCCCCTGTTCGAACAAACACGTGTGTACCGCACACCTCTGACCAAATAGGCACTGCAATTTCCACATGCTATTCAACACAAGTTGAAGGATGAATCTTATTTTTGTTGTGTAAACAAAATTCCGTTATAATTTGACTTGATGACGTTGAGAAATGAACATCGTAAATTGCTGCTTGCGTTACCTATCGCAGCCCTATCCGGCCCGGCAACTAAGATAAAATTGGCGATCGTGTAGTGTAGGGCCCGGTTCCTAACTTAAGGGAACAAATCCACTTTAAAATTATTAGACAGACCAAACTAGTTGGTTCTCAATAAACAGGTATGTCATAGATAGAGAGCCGGGTTTTGAGGTTTTTTGAGGGAAATTTGGGGGTAAAATGACGATGACAGCGCGGCGACACAACTTAACAATAACACGTAATAAAAAACATTTTTGACTATAATTTGATCAAAACAAAACAGGGGCCCTACGTACGCTACACGATCGCCCTAACATTTTCCCACACGTGCTGACGGTTTTCCCGACGAGTTCCGTCCCGTCCGAGCATGCCCTGATGAGCACTAAAAATGCTTCGTGGCAATAATTGCTGATTAGTTTTGTTCTAAGAACAAACAGGATCTTTTACTGTGCCAAACTTATGAAATCATAATTATTTTTAGCAACAAGCCAACCGTAAAAAAATAATAACTTTTCGATTTGCGACTCCATGATGAATTTTCATTCTACAGAAGGATCCATTTCGTAAAGGGGTGTTTCACCCTCTTTTGGGAGATTACATCGATTTTTTTTTATTCATTCTTTACGAAAAAAAAATATATTGCGAAAATTACGAACTTATTGTGAACATGGGAAAGGTTTCAGACTCCATAAAAAGTTGTTTTTTTCCCATTAAATTCTGATACGGTGAAAAAAACTGAAAATGCTGGTAAATTTTCCAGAGGAAAGCACACCCTTCACCGCAATTGGTTTGGTCCAAGCGTACTACGTCATGCTGGAACATGGCGCAGGGCCGGATACTGACCACGCTGGATGAATGCAAAGAGCACGCTTTTCATTGAGAAAATCGCAAGGCGCGTACGTTGTATGTCTGGCTAGAACACAGCAAATAATGAAGATGAATGCGGTGACTTGTCAACACAGTAAATTCAATCATCCGTGCGTTTTATTTTTGCCCTTTCATTGCAAGCATTAGCATTCCTAGCGCTATCAACAAATACTTGCCGAACTCTTCCTAACTGACATTTGGGTTCGGTTCGGTTCGGGTTCGGTTCGGAAGGCCAAGTTCGCCTATTTTTAGTTCGGTTCGGTGGTTCGGCTGCAGCACTAAGTGAAAGCCCTAAATCAACAGCTTTCTGCCATGTCCTTTGTAACCCAAGGTACCTATAAAAAAACTTCATGTCAAACCAAAAGATATTTATTCTGTTGATCCCTTTTGTGTAGTTTAGTCACTTTAGTTCAAGGGATCTTCTGTGAGAAAAATCCTCTCTATAAATGCTTTGACTTTATTGAATAACAGTATAGAGTTGACGGAAGACCACCGTTAAGTGTAACGTGAGTTAGCATGGAATTGCCCATGGTTATGATTGTGAACTTACATAGACTTGACAACAGAGTCTGGTAAGAATGCTTCTTGCTGTCTCAAAGCTGTCTTGAGCTCTGCACTAACATGAATCCGACAGTGGTCCTTGCTAGTATCATCTCCTGTAGTACCGATGTCACACTCACTTTCCACGTCTGATTCTGAATCAGACAACCTGCAGTGAAACAGAAGAGACTTCAAAGTATAGGTTTTGCCCTTCACCAACGTTTAAACACTGTATACTCAGTGTGTTACCTCCCAAATGAAAGTTGGAAAAAATCACTCAGGTGGGACTCGAACCAATGACCTCCTGCTTTCTAGTGCAGATGTCTTACCACTCGACCACCGAGCTAACGAGATCGGTTGGCTGGTTCGAATCTGATGTACATAGCAGCGGGTACCGCGTAAACTATTATAAGATGGAATTTTGCGTCGGGGTGATATAAATCAAAGTATAGGTTTTGCCCTTCACCGACGTTTAAACACTGTATACTCAGTGTGTTACCTCCAGAGTGAAAGTTGGAACAAAATCACTCGGGTGGGACTCGAACCAACGACCTCCTGCTTTCTAGTGCAGATGTCTTACCACTTGACCACCAAGCTAACAGATCAGTTGGCTGGTTCGAATCTGATTCTGGTCACCAAAAATTGTGACTCGAGTCGGACTCGAGTCGAGTCATTGACTCGAGTCATTACAACTCTGGTAGCAATCGCAAGTAAGGTTTGTGGTGATGACTTAAACCTGGGATTTCCCTAGCCTGAGTAACTTGGACTCTAATTATCACCTTTTTTTAAACCCAGGACATGGTCTTGCAATAGTAGGGTTCAAGCTGAATGGCAGCCATGGTCTGACACATAACTAACGACCCAACAAAACATCAGATTTAACCCTCAAAATGGCCTTGGTATTACTAGAGACGCCACCTAAGATACGAGTGGAATTGATGATTAAGATCGAGGAATTAAGGTTTACATACGATCTGCATGAAAAGTGAAATTTCCCGTTCAATTCCGTAGGCTCCCTAGCCCATGTTATTGTTGTTGTGATCATGGGAACACACAATGCATGGCGAACTCATGCATGTGTATAGGTATGAGTGTTCCTATTCCACCTCAGTATATATCTTGACTGCTGGCCTGGATAAAGCAGCGCCCGACTTCCCGAGACAGTGTCCTGCAGGGTGCAACGAACGTTCATGGTATGCATTGGAAATAGCTTTGCAACAGAATGGGCTTTCATTCATATTTAATCCCAGACAGACAAACCAGATCTTTGGAATGATTTATTTCAGCAGTTATGATCGTCCTCAACCAGTTCACGTCGGATGACGTGTATACTCGCAAAGGTTTTGCGGTATTAGAAACGAATGACAGATAAACACGCAACGTGTGAGGCTGGAAAGATCTGTCAGCGAAGAAAACAAGAAAAGATATGTACCCGAAAACATATTTTGGGGCAGACAGTCGATGTTAGCTCTCCGCGGTAAAAGAAGTTAAGACTCTAATTCCCGTGGATTAGCCTTGAAACTTGTTTGTCAATACAATACCCCTGGGAGCAAATAACAACCGTCCACCCTCAAGCCATGTTATGTTTGTATAATTGTGTGCCTTCTAATTCTACCTGCTTTCAATTTCTTCTAGTTGTCTCTTGGTGTGTATCTTAGCTTGCAGCCATCGCTCCTGTAAGGAAGCCATCTTGTTTTCATTTGTGATGCTTAGGTTGCTCATCCTAGCAGCCATTTTCTCTTCACTAAGAAATTGCTTACGTGATGGCAAGTAACAACTGTGTAAATGAGAGGGCAATGATACAGAGATTAGGCATTACCATTGGTCAAGGCATTCGTCATTATTCGTCCGTACGCTGCGGTTAACAATCGGCGGCATATCCTCGTTATGCAGTGCATTAAAAATACAACTTGAACAGCGACCTCGTGCGGCCACTATTTTATGCAAATCATTTGGATCCAGACTAACGCTTTGGTCCAATTATCCTCGAAAGCTTATGCTTTTCTTTATCTTGCACTATATTTTCAGCGCATGACCTCATTATGCGAATACAGATACCGGTAAGTGTAGGCGGGGCTAATATGTGGAGCGTCCAATCACACCTTGGTTAAACCCCAACGTCATCAAACTATTTGCAGCTATTTGCTTTTGCAGACGTGTCAGAAACCACATTTTTTTGTGCATTGGTGTTGTGTGTAATGTGAGACACACAACGTATATGTATTACATGTATAGGCTATAAGCATATAGCACCACCCCCAAAACCTCACATGGAGGATTGGACCAAGGCGTTCGTCTGGATCCAAATGATTTGCATAAAATAGTGGCCGCATGAGGTCACTGTTCACGCTTTAATGCACTGCATAACGATGATGTGCCGCCGATCGTTTACCCACGTACGGACGAATAATGACAAACGCCTTGACCAAGGCTAATTAGGCATTACATGTAGATTAATAACAAAGCCATCTTCTATTCAGCTTATAATGCATTTTTATATTACAATGAATGAAAGGAAATTGTCCGATATAAACCTTAAATCCAGGAATCCAATTTTCAATGACCCTTTTATATTATCTTTTGGGGCCTGGATGTGGATAATGGCCCGAGCCAAATATCTTTTGGTCAATAAGTAGAAAATAATCAAACATTTTAAAGTTCCAATGATTTTGTTCAACAATTTACTCCATGTTTTGTGAAACACCACTCTAGCTTTATTTATGGTATGTGCCTCTTGCGATTTGTACTAAAAATCTACTTCTGGTTTGATGATGTCATCAGTTGGAAATGGTGGTGGGGTTAGGGTTAGGTTGTTTTTTTTAATTTGGTTTGAATTCTAGTTTCCTGTTTGAATTCTGCTAACCGGTTATTTGAAACCGACATCAAATAAATAGTTCTTTTTGGTACACAAGTTGAAGACTACAATTGGAATGTTCCCCAATATGCCCATGTAGCGTGTGTAGTATGTGTCTGCATACTGCTGCAGACCAAGCAAGATGCCCGACTTGGGCCAAGTCTAACATGTTCACTGTTTGACCCATTTCCAAAATGTTGGTTACGACTCTTCGATTTTTTGCCTCAGCTTTCAATACAATACATCCAGTGAGGTCCCATCAATATAAGGTGTTTCCGTATTTACAAAGTTTTTTCCCAAGGAAACAAACCATTTCATTTATAGGGCTGTCCACTTTCGATTTAGTATTCAACTATTCAAAACTGCCCGGATTATTCAACTATTTGAAACTTGGCGGTCAACTTTAAACATGCCAGATGCAACTACATGCCACACCCATCAAAATGTTGCATGCAAAGCACGCCGGTGAAAACTTGAATGTGGCGATGAATGTTATGGGCCGCAGGAGTGTTTTGCGGTAAGTACATGTGTTTTGGCCAGGTAAAGTGAATCCAATACTAATGGAAGTTGACCTTATTCATCACCTGGGAAATACATTTTAGCCCTAACTCCCTAGGCTTTTTTGCTAGGATGTAGCCTCAATTCTGCAAAATCCTCCAATTGGCCTCCTGGAAAAATGTGATACGATCAAGCTAAATGAGTCGTTTGTCGGGAATTTCATTTGGAGATTCAGGCCAAAATAGGACCACTTCATCACATCACTTCATCAGATTTCTTGTGTTCCAACTTCCATCATTTTTTTAACTAAAGATGGTATCAGCATGCGGCTTTCACAGCAGTAATGCTGAGATTCTGCTCTTTTCAAATTTGTAAAACAAAAAAAATTGACCAGGGTCGACAAACGACTCATTTAGCTTGACCGCATCACAAATAGCATATAGCCTCAATCCTGCAAATTCCTCCATTATTTCTTGAATATGGTCCGTGGAGGGGTGACCACTGCCTGAATCCTGCAAAATCCTGCGGCAGTGACTGTCAACAGGTTGAGGCCTGGCCAGTGACATCCTGGAGCAGTGTGTAGGATTTCAAGCATAAGGCCAAAAAAAAAAAAAAAGTTCTGCTTCCAGTTTCCCTACCTACCCTATTCTGACAGCCCCTACCCTAATTTTTTTATAGGAAAAATGAGAAGAAAAAAAAAACACCCAAAACCATCACTTTATACCTTTTACCCTTGACTACACGCAGACGCCTCCATATGATCGTACACACACAAAAATTGGCAAAAAAAGAAGAGCTCCCTACCTACCTACCCTATTTTCGAATGCCATGTAATCGGAAGCAGAACTCTTTTGGGGGGGGGGGCATAATCCAGGCATATACTTATCCATGGCTGAGCAAAAACAACACAAGGTCTGGCCCAAGACCTTGACAAAATGCATCCTACGCAATCAGTAACACACTTTTACCATGTAACCTCAATCCTTCAAATTCCTCCACTTTGGCAAAGAGGGTTTTGAAGGATTCAGGGCGGTTAGGGTTAGGGCATCAATTTTATGCTGACATTTTAGGATCATGAAGGTTTCAATTGATAATTATAAGGATTGACATTGCAGGAATAAGCAAACATTTGAAACTCATTTTTGAAGAGAGGCAGAGCAGAAGCCACTATGTCAAACAGTTGACTTTCATGTCTTTTGCTCTCATAGTCTCTTGAAATCTGTTTACCTTTCTTCCTCAACAAACTGCTGGCTTCTCTTGCCATGCAACCGCTTTCTAGATTTTACGTTTCCTCCACTGTCGCCTTCACTGTCTCTTGATTTCCTTGTATTTGTATTATAAAAAAATTGAAAAACAAAATTAAAATGTTAGGTAAACTTTGAATCTGTTTGGGGTAAATCTTCCAATGTCATTATACCAGTGATTCCCCTGAGAGGTTTATCAGTGCAATTCATGCATGATCTCTTTGGGCTTGAAAGTGGCTTTGAGGGACAGTTCATACTCATAGAGGTATGTTGTCTGAAACATTCATTAAAAAACAGTGCTGGCACATACAAAATGTGGCAGTCATTCAATCTGTACTTTAAGGCCAAATGAAAAAAAAAACATGTTAGCGTCCTGCTTTTTGAAAGAAGGGAGGAGGCTCTTTTCCCCCCTCAAAAATGGCCACCCGACTGGGCTATTTTTGAAGATGGCCGCCAGCTTTTTTTAAATAGCTACCACATGTACTCAGGTAATGACATACCAGCTTTATGTGGGCTAGATGCAACAGACAAAGAGACCAAAATGATGTCACTCTTTAAAATTTATCATTTTTTTTGTTAACAAAAAAGAGGAGGCAGCCTCCAAAAAGGAAGTGGGCACGACCGCTAAACATTTTTTTTTACTTGGCCTAAGGTGAGAATTATTAGTATGTCATTTGAAAACAGCTACTGTTTTTGTTGAGATTTCCAACCCCCCCCCCCTCCCAATGGCAGAATTTCATATTCATGCCACAGCTCTAATTTCTACTTACTGCTTACTACTTACGGTTTAATGGGTAATTTATTTAGGCATAACCTTTGTGACCCCATATCCTATATTTGTTCTCTTCTATCTGATGGAAATGATTCTATCCACTTAAGAATCTTCCCATTGTAGTCATATGCTTGGAGTTTGGATTTCAATCTCCGTGTGGTGCCAAGTCAAATGCCTTATGGTAGTCCAAAAAAATGATATCTACAACATCATCATCATCAAGGTATGTTGTGATGTCCTCCAAAGTTGGAGGTTTGTCAGACCCAATTTACCTTGCATTTCAATGAGATTTGGATGTCTGAATGTGAAAGTTTTATTAACTCTAACTCCTGGGGCTCTTTTACTAGAAAGTATCCTGAATCTGCCGAAATCCACCAGTTTTTTCAAGCAAAAAATGCTGGTATCCTGAGTCCATCAGAATCCTCCAGTGTAGATACTGGAAGTATCCTGAATCCGCCAGAATCCACCAGCAAAAGTCTCGATGGATTCTGGCGGATTCAGGATACCATTGTGGCATAAAAAAATACAGCATGTTTTTCCATAGAGTCTTCAAAATCCATCACCTAAATTTCTGGTGGATTTTGACGGATTCAGGATACCATGCTCGCATGAAAATTGTGATGTGTGATGTTGCGTAGGATCCATCAAAATACACCAATGCATGGTTCAACTGCTGGTGGATATGATGTTGGTTGTTTTTCCTTTCAACTTGGGCTGTGGGTAACTATGTATACTATGATGTTAAATGCATTGTCTGGAAGGGCTATTTCAATGAGCCATTGTCCGACCCCAGCATTGCTTTGTCTGGATGGGTTATGTACATAATCCATTGTATATGCTGAGGCCTAATAAGCCGCAGTCACAAGCTCCCAACCACCCAGTACATACATTTTTGTACAGCATGTGACAGACCTGGCAGGGCTACAAGCAGTATTTACTTGACCACAAACATAGCCAAAGAGTTATTCTGTTGAGATCCTGAATCCACCAAAGTTCCCCAACAGCTCAATATGGAGGTATCCTGAATCCATCAAAATCCTGCAGTTCCACTAGGCTTACAATCCTGAATCCATCAAAATCCCCCAGTTTGTGCAATATGGAGGTATCCTGAATCTGCCAAAATCCCCCAAAACAGGGGGGTGGGAGTTTGATGGATCGAGGTACGTAGGAATAATCTTCAAAAGAAATTGGCAAAGTTAAAAGTGTGAAAATACATTAACTTATTTACACATGCAATTTATATGTGTTACATGTCGGTATCGGACAATGTACATGTAGTAGTATACAAATAACGAATGTTTGTGAGTGCGATGGTAAGAATAATTGCATGAGGTGACAGATTGAATGTTCTATTCCACGAGGCGAAGCCGAGTGGAATAGAACATTCAATCTGTCACCGAATGAAATTATTCTTTCCATCGCACGAACGTAAAACATTCGTTATTTGTTTTATACAACACCAGAATAAATTCTCGTCATTTGATTGGTAAATTATAAACTACAATTTATTTTGATTTTAAAGATGTTGAACTACCCCTTCACGAAAATGTTTGAACCCAACGCTGTAGCGCTGGCTCTTTGGAACAATACGCGCTACGCTGAACGCGCACACCAGCATGCATTTTGCACGCAAATACCGCGTCATGGAACAAGCGCAAAGTGAAACGGTATAACGCATGGGTATAACGCATGGTCGCACCGTGCATTATACCGAATAATAATATGTCACGTGATCTACAATTCACCAATCAGATGACGGGGATTTATTCAGGTGTTGTATAAATTAAACTAACTTTTACAACCATTATTTTTTAAATGGACATGAATACCCTACTATACTGTGCCCATTTTATAATACACAAGAACAAAATTTCAACTCAATAGTTATGTATTTTAGGCCTTTTTTTTTAACCCTAAACTGCCCAAATCCTCAAAAATCCTCTTTGCAAAATGGAGCATTTTGCAGGATTGAGGCTACATGGCAAAAGTGTGTTGCTGATTTTGGAGGATGCACTGTGTCAGGGTCTTGGGCCGGATCTTGTGTTGTTTATGGTCAGCCGTGCATAAATGTAGGCCTACATTATACTTGAAATCCTCCATACTGTTCCAGGATGTCACTGGCTCTGCCTCAACAAACTGACAGTGACTGACGGAGAAATTTGCAAGATTGAGGCAGTGGTCATCCCTCCAAGGACCACATTAAAAAAATAACGGAGGATTCTGCAGGATTGAGGTTACATCCTGGCAAAAACCAAGTCCCCTGGCAAAAATGCCAGGGGACTTGGTTAGGGTGAATGAGCGGTCCCATATTTAATAATTTTACAAGAATTTCTTAAGGACTACACTATTTTTTTTAAATTTAATGTCAGTTTCAGAAACTCTAATTTATCATGTACTGTCATGTATCCTGCATTTCTAGCTTAAAACAAGTAATTTAAAACATGTTATGTATATGTATAGGGCTTAATCCGAGTTATTTAAAATAAAAATGGTTCAATCAAATGTTTACTCAATCATTGCTCATTAAATCAGTATTGTATTGTATTGGTAAAGTGATGTACATGTACATATTTGGAAACCTTACCTTCCTGAATTCATGTCATGTGATCTAGCATGATGTCTTGTGAGCAGACCTTGACTGGCACCTGGTAGCAACATACTGCATCCAGATGCTGTCAGCTCATCATGCTCAGCAGCATGTGGCTGCAGGGCTACATGGAAGTTACTCATTCTGTGTGAGCCACTATCAGTACATCTTGCCTTTACATCATGGCAAGTCTGCCCAATTTGACCTGAAGACATACACTTCTGGGAAAAAGACATCAATTTTTGAGAATGCGGATGCCCATTTACGGGTTGATGAATGTTTGTAACCTCAAGTTGAAGTCTTGATTGGTCTTCACTGAAAATCAGTTTGTGAGAACATCCTCCAAGTGTGGGTTGGTTGTAGCTTTCACTTTGTACAGACTCTGGTTTAAATCCACTACAGATAGGCCGCATGTCTTTATTTTGTAAAGCTGAACCCTGTGCCAAATACACTACCAGAGTTCAAGGAATGAGGCACCTGTTCAAAGCTGTGTTGTACACGGGGTGACTGCTTCACACCAACTGGCAGATCCTGCCAAGGCACAGCAGTTTGTTGAGTAATGAATAAATCTCTAGCTTGCAGCGGCTGGCTTGGACCCTGGCAATTGTTCACAACGCTGTCATGATGGCTTTTCCCTGCGTTTGGCCTGGGTCTGTTGACTATGACACTGATGCATGTTTGTATTAATCTGTAATGATTAAGAAGAGGGAAAAAAAATGACAATCAGGCTTTTTCTAAAGTTTAAACACTTCGTTCACATTTGATGAGCAATTCATATTGCACTAGACTGCCAACTTGTGTCCACAATTTGGAAATATAGTTTACAGTCAAGTCAGACCCAGACAACCTTGGGTCCAGACCAACTCCAACCCACACTAACATGATGCATACCAAGTTTGCACTTCATCGTCTTGCGGGGTGACGTGGTCCAATGGTTACGGTGTTCGACTCATATGCAGGGTCATTCTTCAGTACGGTAAGTGTCTACTTTGGGCGTCTGGAAAATTTTGAAACTTTTTTTTTCAAATGTTGAATTTCTTTCATGGGATGTGATCATTATGTTGTACAGCAACTATAATTAGCGTACGGCGCAATCTTTAGGGGAGTTTTGACCATTTATCAACATTCACTTGTCAGCGTTGTAGCATAGGAAAAATGCAAGTGTCATATCCATCACACCTTTTGCGATGGCAATGACAATATTTGAATAAATGTGACGCCGACTAAATTCTAATGAGAGCTTTTAAAGTATGAACATAATAAAATAAATGGTGGATTTTATTACCATAAGGCAAAATTAAAAAAAAACATGTTTAGTGGTCCTGCCTTTTTTTAAATAAAGGAAGCGGGAGGCCCCCTTTTTCTTCCCCTCCAAAATGGTTGCCCGACCGGGCTATTTTTCAAGATGGCCGCAAGTTTGTTTTTTTCTAAATGGCTGCCATTGGACTCAGGAAATGACATACCAGCTTTATATGGGCTAGGTGCAACAGATAAAGAGGCCAAAATGATGTCACTGTTGAAAATTTATTATTATTTTCGATTTAAAAAAAGAATGAAAAAAAAAGGAAGCGGGCGGGGACGCAGAACATGGTTTTTTTTTATTTCGTCTAAAGAAAATTTCAAGAAATCATCTCCGTCACGGTGAAATGTGACTGAGCATGACTGTGACAGAGCTGACAAAATTACAAATCAAACTTTTTCGTGCCATCTACAGTTTGTTTGAAGCATGAATATCACATGTGTTTGGAAGTTTACACAATTCTGATCGTATTCATGAATATTTTTTTAGCACAATATAAATAAGGCAAAAAAACGTAAGCGTTCGGATGACGCAGAATAAAGGTATGCACCTGTAATTTAGCTCAAATCCTGCTTTTCATGGGTTTTCTTCACAATACCTGGAGAAAATTTGAACACAATGCACTGTCGTATCTCACGTTATACAAAGACCGAAGCAGTGTTTTTATTTGATTTTATCAACTATTGAGGGCGCTGCATAAGTTCGTGACAGTATCTGACATAAATCCTCGGGACAAACATATTCCGACATAAACGATAAAATTCAGGACTTAATTGGTGTATAATCTGATAATGAAACATTACAAAAAACAGGTCCGACGCCTCATAAGTCCAAAATTTCGGACTTGAAGCATTGGACTTATGACGCGCCAGACTTATGAGTCCAACGCCGCATAAGTCCAACGCCTCAGAGCTCCGACACCTCATACTGTAAGTTCGAAACAGCGTTTGTCCATTGTCGGATTTATGAGGCGTCGGACTTATGAGGCATCGGACTTATGAGGCATCGGACCTACGAGATGGAATTTATGGATCATAAGTCTGGCAATGCCTCATAAGTCCGAAAGTTTGGACTTATGTAGTCCGCGTAACTTGGACCCAACATATCACCTTTTTAACATTCGGACATGGTCCAGCATTAGTCGTGTTAGTAGGGTCCAAGCAATGGTGCTGCCATCGTGCGACACAATTCTGTCATTGACCCCAAAACCCAACATGTCATTGCCCAACACAACCTCAGATTTCATCCTCGAAACGGCCTCCCAATACTAGATACGCTACCTGAGGTACAAGTAGAGATCGATGATTAAGATCCAGGTTCTAAAGTTTACATACGATTTGGATGAAAAGTGAAATTTCTCGTTCAATTCCAAGAGCTCTCCTCGTGATCGTGAACATGTTAAATTTCTGAGTCGTTTGAACATCGCGATGTGGTCGTGCCCAGCGTTCATTCAATGCTCCGAAAACGGGAAACCGAGCGCGATGCATCGATTGTGATAATGAGTAGACTGGATCTCGTTTGTAAACACATGTGCATTTCGAACGATGATGGGGAGTCGGGAACTAGGGCAGCTTGAACTGGTTCCCTTCATGATCAAATCAGTTAGAAATATGAGCGGAACCAGTTCAAGCTAGTTCCCGACTCCACTCCACGACCACATCTTGTTGTTCAAACGAGTCAGAAATTTAACGTGTTCAAGATTGCAAGGAGAGCGCTCAGACATGTCAGAATTGAACGGGAAATTTTACTTTTCATCCAGATCGTAAGTAAACTTTAGTACATCAAATTAGTTTTGCCCTTCACCGATGTATAAACACTGTATACTCAGTGTGCTACCTCCGAGTGAAAGTTGGAAAAAATCTCTTGGGTCATTTATACATTGGTGAAGGGCAAAACCTAATTTGATTTACATCACCCCGACGCAAATATTCCATCTTATGAAAACTTTAGTACCTCGATCTTAATCATCGATTTCTACTTGTACCTCTGGTGGCATATCTAGTAATTCAGAGGCCGTTTTGGGGGTGAAATCTGATGTTTTTGTTAGGCAATATTGTTTTTTTGGGGGTTTTTGGGTCAACATCAGAATTGTGTCGCTGGATGGCACATTTGCTTGGACCCTACTATCGCCAGACCATGTCCGAATGTTAAAAGGCGACAAGTTGGGTCCAAGTTACTTGGACTAGGACTTATGAGGCGTCGGACCCATGAGGCGTTGCGTCGGACTCATGCTACTGGGCAATGGCAGTTTTCTTTATGTGTCAAATACTCCCCCTAGTAGTATTAGGTCAGGGAAACAGTCAATTCTGTAATGACAGCACAGATGAAAATCCCGTAAGGCATTACAGCTGTCGTAACGATGTTGGTCGATTGCATTGCACTAGGGCTATCGGTCAATTGATCAATCGACGCTATCGGTCAATCCCGCTGCCACCTTTCCTTTCTAATTCACGACTATGGTGGGGGATTTTCTTCAGGTAAGTAAAGTCCGAGATATCCTACAGAATCGACCGATTGGGTAAGGTTAATCGACCACTCACACAGATCAACCCATCACAACCAATAACGCTTGCCACTGGCATTTCTTGTTCTATATTGAGGCTAGTTTGACTAACTCCTGCTCATATGTCAAATTCCTGATATGAGCACTGGAGCTGGAGTTACTCAAGCTAAACTTAGGCCAGGAGAATGAAGGTTTTACATTTGCGTCCACCACCCGCACTCCATGGTCTGAGCACAGATCCTACACACAAGGATAAACAACTGTTCTGAGCTCCAGTACAAAATGCACTGAGTGGACTTGTCTTAATTGGTTAATTGAAATAACTCGACAACCAAAGAAGTCAGGAATTATGAAATTTGAGAATTAGAGAGAGAGAAAAATACACTGAACAGGGTTGCAAAGATTTAAAATGTAAAACAGCTTTTTCATTTTTTTCATAAAATGACCCCTACTGACCAGTAGGTGACCACTGGCCAAATTCTGTGAACAAATTTTGGAGGCTTGGTCCAAAGATACAACTGGCCAAGTTTTACATTAATTGGGTCAAGACTCTGGGAGAAGAAGCATTTTGTAAATATTCATTAAATGACCACTACAGGCCATTGGATGACCATTGGCCGGATCTTATGAACATGGCTAGGTAGGGCATGTGTCAAGGTTTAATTTGACCAAATTTGTTTGAAATCGGCTGAATAGTTAAGGAGTTATGGCCATTTTTTCATTGGTCACGTGACCGTTTGCCCGAAGAAAGAAAGAAAGAAAGAAAGAACTTTAGAAAGAAATTGGATGATCACAGTACATGTATATCAGCGTGCTTCGCACGGCTGATATAAGAAAACTAATAGTATACACAACCTACGGCGTGCATTTCCTGCACTGACCAAGTGAAACCCAGACTTGGGCAAGTCTACTTGGCTGCAGCTAGCTGGCTGCGCTGATCTGAGCATCACCAAATTTGTACATTTACGATAACGAAACTAGAAATTGGACGACTAGGGCATTATTACATAGTTTCGGCGGATTTCTAATTTTGCTGCAACACTTACACTAATTAGTACTTACAGCAAGGGGGATAAAAAGGCAATTTGTAGAGTTCTTGTTACTCAGACCATGCCCGCACCTCCCCACGGCAGCTGCACACAAATGTCATTGTTTTGCAAAACTATCTGAAGCCAATGCGACATCTCGTGTGGAACAATGAAATTTTTGGCCGGATTAAGCAAACCCACATAATGCATAAGCTTGCGATCTATGATTAGTTAAGAAGGATAGTTTGACGTGTTTTGTTTATAAAAAAAAAAAAAAAACATTGTTTACGTACTCATTTTTCATTGTTTGCCTAGCAATAAGTAGCATGCCTAGGCTAAGCCTAAAGCCTACATGAAGGCCTATGCCTATGGCATGTTTGCCCGGTTCCTTTACTTTACTTTACTTTATTCCACCTCATGGTACAATACAAAAAAATATAAATATAATTCTTCAAAATAAATTAGGTATGTTAAAACAAATAAGATAAGAAATAATGTACTAGTATTAATACCAAGAGATGCAGGGGACCCACAAAAAGCAAGCTTGTCGAGTGCGATGAATTTAACAGAATATTAAAGAAAATTATAATAATGATAGAAAGCCACATTTTTGTATAGGGCTCAAAAAAGACCATGGTGCTATGCGAGAAAAATAGAAACAAACAAATTATATATGGCTTAAAAAGCATTACTAGAAGCACAGAGTAACTTAAATAAATAAATCAAAAGAAAGACTTTATACCAACAAGGGATAATAATAAGGCTCACGAGCATGAATATTTGTTGAAAATAGATTGTTTGATCTTAACTTTGAATGTAGAAATGGATGGCGATTTCTTAATAGATTTGGCAAGGGA